AGAAGTGGTTGGCAGGTGACAAGGGGAAGACAGAGGTGGAAAGAAAGCTTCGCTTACTGGTTTCTTGCTGTGGAAGAGCAGATGATTTGTACTTGGAGCTGTTGGACCTCGTCTTATGGAGGACGTTGGAGTTGCGTCGTGTACGTTCGCTGGTGGGTAGTACAGCATAGCCGGTGCCAGCTTTGTGATCGACGACGATAAGGAAGGGTATCGATACCAGAACGAGTAGGGAGGTCGCAAGAGAAAGCATCATGAGCAGCCCGGAGGTATTGCCTGGAAATGCTATGCCGGCGATGAGAGTGTAGAAGAAGGCGCTCAATCCGAAGGCAGCCAGTGGGCAAGCAGTGGCCGATCCGCGATGAGTAGGCCAGTTAAGTGTCGCTGTCATTGTTAGCATAGACCCGACAAGAGTTGATGAGGATATTACCCGTCTTCAAAGCAGCCTGGAAGGCAGCACAGCTGCCCACGCCGCTGAAAAACGAACACAAGGATATCAGGCCAACGCTCATGTAGCCTGGACCTCCATCATATGCTGGCTACAGTCAGACAATAATCCGGTGAGCAGGTATGAGATAGCCTACCGAGTTTGATGGGATAGTAGCCAACGAAGAGCGCGAACATGCCGATAATTGCAGCAAGTCGCGGACTCTTCCTATCCGTTATGATGCCCATGGGTATGCCAGAAGCATACATGCCCAGGTTGGCGGCCGTTCCCTATCATTGTAAGACGACGTTCGTGTTCAGGAGGTACGTAGGATAGCATACGACGACATTGCTCTGAGTCGCAGAGAGTTGAAGCTTATCGGCAAACTGCGGTGCCCATGCTGAGTAGGCATACTGGGGTCTGTTAGTATCCCGCTTCAGATGTATGACGGAGACGTACATTTGTACCACAAGCAAGCGCGATTGCGGTCGCAGCAACGACGGATATGATACGCGTCTTCTTGTGGGTGGGAGGCTGCTCTTCGGCGACCATGTTGGTCAGTGTGAATGAGGTGTTATTGCAGTGCGCTGATCATCGAGTGCGGGAGATATCGAGTTGCGCAATCGCAGACTGGAACTGATATCGGCACTTGCTAAGCCGAGGAACTAATACCGCAGGAAAAGATATGCAAAAGAAGCAAGCAAAGAATGGAGGGCACGAAAGAAGTCTATAGCGCGAAGCAAACAAGAAGTCAGGCGAACCCCAAGACACTACACCGATGTTTGTCGAGTGAATGGAGAGTCGAAGTGAAGCATGGCCGTTGCAGCTGATCGGAGATAAGATGGCCAAGGCTCGACTTGGCGGCAGGAGCCGCGACACAAGCGCATGCGCAGGAACGTCACCGGCCTCATCCTCGTGCCTCTACAGCTTCTCCACAACACACCCAGGCGACTCACGGCATCTCAACCATGGGCGCATTACTATCCGTCCCCTTTCTGGCTATGCCCGCCATGGGCACCGTATGTTGACACGCTCCGTCGCGACTGCGCGCCGCTAACATGGCCAGGTTTGGAGCGTTGCCGCCTCCTGCTGTGGCGCCGCGACATGCAGCGCCGTCATGGGCTCTTGCGGAGGAAAATGTGGTAACAGGTAGGATTACAACTTCTGGAAGATATGTTCAGAGGTACTGACTGCGCGCAGCATCGCCACCCGTATCGCATACGCGCTCATCCTGCTCATCAACTCGATCGTCTCATGGATCATGCTCACCGACTGGGCCATGAAGAAGCTTGCCCACCTCACTCTGGATTACGTCGACATCAAGTGCCACGGCGAACAATGCTACGGATACGTTGCGGTGCAGCGCATCAACTTTGCGCTCGGTTTCTTCCACGTCCTAATGGCGCTTATGCTCATCGGAGTACGGTCTTCCAAGGACGGTCGCGCGACCATCCAGAATGGCTTCTGGGCCCCCAAGATCATGGGCTGGATCGGCATGATTGTCCTGACTTTCTTCATCCCGAACTCATTCTTCATCGTTTGGGGCAACTACTTCGCCATGGTTGGCGCGTGTCTGTTCCTTCTCATCGGACTCATCCTGCTCGTGGATCTGGCGCACAACTGGGCCGAGTACTGTCAGGAGAAGATTGAAACCACCGAGTCGCGCGTCTGGACAGGCATGCTCGTGGGTAGTGCCATGTCCATGTACCTAGCGTCATTCGCCATGACCATTGTCATGTACATTTTCTTCGCAAAGAGTGGATGCGGCATGAACCAGGCAGCTATCACCGTAAGTTCACTTCTGGACATATGCCGAAATTAGCTAACATCGACAGATCAATTTGGTTCTGCTCCTCATATCATCCGTCGCCTCGATCCACCCCGCAGTACAGGACGTAAACCCCCGAGCAGGCCTCGCCCAATCCGCCATCGTAGCCGTCTACTGCACGTACCTCACCTTGTCTGCCGTGGGCATGGAACCCGACGACCATCAATGCAATCCCCTCATTCGCGCCCGTGGAACTCGTAAGGCGACCATCATCATCGGCGCGATTGTCACGTTCGTTACAGTTGCCTACACCACCACCCGCGCAGCAACATACGGCCTCGCTCTTGGCGCCCAAGGCAACCCTCACGGAAACGGCTACGCCCAGGTTGGCACCGAAGACTACGAGCATGGTCTCGTCACACAGCAACCCGAGTCACGTCGTGACATGCGCCAGGCTGCCCTACGCGCTGCTGTAGAGTCTGGCTCCCTCCCCGCTTCTGCCCTCGACGACTCCGACAGTGAGGACGAAGACGACGAGCCCTCTAGCAAGAAGAACCCACGCGATGACGAGCGCAACGCAACTCAATACAACTACACCCTCTTCCACATCATCTTCTTCCTCAGCACAACATGGGTTGCCACCCTCCTCACCACAAACTTTGACGAGAAGGATGTGTCTGGCAGCTTCGTCCCTGTCGGCCGGACGTACTGGGCTAGTTGGGCAAAGATCATCAGCGCATGGGTGTGCTACGGCATTTACACATGGACACTGGTTGCCCCTCTTGTGCTGCCAGATCGATTTGACTACTAGGCGCGCAGTAGACAATTAGATCAAGGCATATTCCACTTTGTGTTTGTACAATATGTGTTAGGATTGTATCATTATCTAGTACTGTGTATGGTTTCGCGTCCGCCCACGTGTCGCGAGTTGAGTACGAACAGCATCCTACGTTTTGACCTTAATGAAGTATTTTGTTTGTTTCCTCGATCCATATTTTGCTTCTGAAACGGCCATGTGGTGATGTGTGGGCATCTTGGGAGTGTAGCCGGAAATCTACATGTCTCCCCATTGTCCACATGACCGGGGTGTGGGCATCTTTACTCAATTATCTTTTATAAAGTGCAGGTGTGAGCAATTCCTATGTTTGGCATATTATGCTCATATTTGGCTGCTCTGTGTACTCTGCCTCGCCCGCCTCGTTCATGCGCTATTGTCGATTGCCCCGCTCAGCTCCGCGTGGTTACATGTACAGCCCGTAGCTGTGACTCAAATTGTATGTGCGCCGAATAAGACGCTAATAGTCGGCGCTTGTGTGGATGTCCCTGGTAGGACAAATTAAAATTCGATAGACCATATTCTCCGAAAAGAATGCGAGTTTTACCACCTCAGCCAGTATCAACAGGTACCTTGGGTTTGTTCTTCGATCCAGGGGGTCTTCCCACCCGTCCACGGCAGGAAGGCAGCTGCTGCTTCAGCTTTTTATGACGGTGAGTGTCCTTCGGTGGCTTCGGTGGTTTCTCTGCCACCTCAGGCTCATCGCCCGCTCTACGCTTAGTCTTCGATCCTGGAGGTCTTCCGATGGTATGGCCTTCGGTAGGCTTTTTTAGGGTCCGTGGGATTTGGCCTCCGCGTGGAGAAGGCACTTTTTCGGACCACAACTTCAAGGGCCGACCGAGTTTGGGCGCAACGACCGGAGTGACCTTCTTCTTGTCCTTTGCGGAACCCTTGGGACGCCCTTGGGGTGGCTCTTCCACTTTAACGACAGGGGCGGGTACATGCTCGTTGCTGGCTGGGATCTGGCGCATGAGCCTGAGGGTTTCCTGGTCGAGGTTGTCCCTATCTGGGAAGATGGGCGATCCCATCCAGGTTAATTGTATGTCTCTCCTTGTTCCCGAAGTTTTGAACTTATCCTGACTCTTCTTTGATACCTTCGTGGTGTCCTCCTCTAATCCCTCCTCGCGATTTTCCAGTAAAACCCGCGGGGTATGCCTCACCGTGACACCCACTCCTTCCAGCCCTCTCTCAGTTGCCGCCCGGTTCCAAACAAATTGCTCCACTACTCCCTCCCGCGATATGAGTACAAAGCCCATAGGGGACGAACTTTTACTCAGAGCGCCCATCACCCCGATCGTAGCCTTTTTTGTTGTTACCAATAGCCCCAAGACATCCTTGTTGCGCCAATGTGGTGGTATACCCTGGAAGGATCCTTCAAGTTCGCGAATGTGGTTGGGATTGACACTATTACTCCTTGCCTTGCATTGTATGATGATGGGCATGGGTTCTCTTAGGGGCGCCAGCACCCAGTGTCCGATCAAGTCTATGCCCGCATCTGCACGACGGCCTATGCGTAAGAGAGAGAAGCCTAGGCGCATGAGCGCCAGCGCCGACATGTACTCATAGATGGTACCGATAGCGAGAGTTGATGTCATATTTAGATTGGTGCGCTTCGCATATTCGAGGAACGAAGTAAGCGAATCGTGATACGGAGAGCCAGGCGAAAGTCTCAATTTGGGTAGATCAATTGGCGCAGCATTGCGCGCTGAAGTGGTCGCGATTCGGCGTGGGACGCGGTGCGGAGTAGTTCGGGGGAGCCATAGTGGGCGGAGGGAAGGTCGCATCACGGTATCCTGAGATAGCGCTTGAGATGTGACATGTTTACACAGAGATTGACGCGACAGAGAATGAAAGTGGGTGTCGGGCGTCGAGTGGGGTGAATTGGAGGAAAGAGCATTCGCGTATAATTTGAACCCTGGATATGGCGGTGACGCGCTAGGCTAGCTCAGCCGGCGCATTCTACAACGCGAACGCGATACTTCTCTCTAGCATACACACTCAGATCAAGCACGCCAAACTCGCAGCTTGGAGAGCCAGTCTCGTGTCACCTTCTTAGCAGCTAGGAGCTTTCACGCATTCAACATATCCATCTGCCACCATGGGCGACATCCTCACCCAAATCCAAGATGAACTGGACATGGTACCACCCTCCAACCAGCACACCAACCCACCTACTAACAAAGCCAGCTCCTAAACCAGATGTCCGCCGCTCTCCGCCAAATCCGCGAAAATGCCCCACCAAGCGTCCCGGAAGGCCAGCAGCCCCTCGAAACCTTTGCTCAACTAGAAGCTCGCAACGCCGCCGAAAACACACAACAAAACCCTACCGCAGACCCCTCACAACAACCAATCGCAGCCCCACCTAAACCGTCTCCAGAGCAGTTTCAAGCAGATCTCAAAGAAATGGCACAAGACATTACGTTGAAGGAGCAGCAGATTGAGAGGTTGATTGCGCATCTACCAGGCTTGAATTGGAGTGAAAGGGAGCAGGTGGATAGGATGAAGGAGTTGGAGAGGCAGTTGGAGGATCTGGAGGGGGAGAGGGTAAAGGCAGTCAAGGATAAGGATGTCTTGATGAAGATGGTGGAGGATAAGATAACGGGCGTAGGGAGGGTCAGATGAGATCATGATCTGGATGGAGCAGGCGTTTTTGGGACCGCAACCGTCTACATTTCACACTTGAACCTCAGGTTAAGTCGCGTATATCGACCCATTGCCGAAGGAGATATCACCACGAAGGCCTTGCGACCGTCTGCTAGCTACAGTGCCGCCAGCCTATCTTCCGTTGCGGCAGCACGGATTACGGTGGATGTTCAAGCAGCACGCGATTTTGTACCACTATGGTGATACTATCAGCTGCGTCGAACTCAGCACTTTGCTATGACATAATTCGGTCATAAAGAGACTGATCACCGCGCCTCAGGATGGCATGTCATCCGCCTGGCCTTTCGAGGCAAGGCATAAGTCAAGCCCTTCACTAGATCACAAATGTACTGATGGTCAAGTTGGAAGGTTGAAATATCCACATTTTGAAGGTATCGTAATCTCATCTCATTCAGACTGGTCGTCTAGCCAGTTCAACGCACGTTAAAGTCATCAGCAAGTATCATCTTCATCTCACAGCCTAGTTTCTTAGTGGTGGAACAACCGGATGTGCTGCTCAACAAAGGTGATACCCAGCTTCTCAGCCGTCTCGAACACGGCGCCATCGTTCTGGCTTCCTGTAGGCGCAGCAATGTACTTGGCACCGCTCCGGTGCGCCCTGAAGACGTTGTCGATGAAGGGGAAGAAGGCATCGGAGCTAACAGCGACACTCTCCATCTTTGAGAGCCACTCCTTGCGCTCATCCGCGGTGAATGGCTGAGGTACCTCTTCGAAGTTGGCCTCGAAATCGTCGCGCTCGATGCCTGACTCGGGGACGAGACCAGAGCACAGAAGGTCAATGGCGTTGGATTTTGAGGGGCGCTTGGTGCCCTTCTTGAACTTGAGGTTTAGTGTCTTTGAGTGGAAGCGCATCCACCAGTTGTCAGCCTTGTCACCAGCCAGGCGAGTGCAGTGAATGCGTGCTATACAGGTATTAGTGGCTGCTCACCATATAGGATCTGTCGAACTTACATTGCTGACCAGCTCCGAGACCGATGATTTGGCCATTGAGCGCATAGCAAACACTGTTGGACTGAGTATACTTGAGCGCAATGGTGGCGACAGTCAAGTCGCGCTGAGCAGACTCTGGAAGAGCTCCGGAGTTCTTAGGCACAATGACGGTGTTGAAGGTGTCTGCAGGAACAATCTTGGCGTCATTGCGGTGCTGCTTGAGTGTGATGCCGAACACGGTCCTGGTCTCCTCGGGTCCTGGGACGTAGTCGGGGTCCATCTGAAGGACCAGGTACTTTCCACCCTTCTTCTTCTTGAGGATTTCCAGAGCTTCGGCGGTGTATCCGGGTGCAATGACACCGTCGGAGACTTCGCGGCTGATGATCTTCGCAGTCTGGACATCAACCTCAGCGGACAGGGCAATCATGTCGCCGAAACTTGACATCCTGTCAGCGCCACGCGCCCTAGCGTAGGCCTGCGCCAAACCCGACTTCTCGATACCCTCAATATCGTCGACCATGTATACCTTGCGCTCCACCTCACTAAGTGGGACTCCAATAGCCGCACCAGCAGGCGAGACGTGCTTGAAGCTGGCTGCCGCTGGGTAGTTGAGCGCCTTGGTCAACTCCTGCACCAGAGGCCATGCGTTGAGCGCGTCGAGCAGGTTAATGTATCCTGGAGAGCCGCAGAGCACCTTGAAGGGCAGAGACTTTTCCGGCATCGAGACCGTCGCAGGCTTTTGGTGGGGGTTTGCGCCGTATCGGAGGGTGAGGAACTGGTCGCCGTCACCTGCGTACTTCTTCCTGAAGAACTCGGAGATGGCGGTGTCGTATGATGAAGTCTGCTCGAAAGCCTTCAACGCGTAGCGCTGCCTGCTGTTCTCTGAGACCTCGCCATCCTTCTTGAGTTCGGTAAGGAGGTCATGGTAGTCGTTTGGGTCGCTAATGATGGTGACGCGCGCGTGGTTCTTCGCGGCGGCCCTGAGTAGAGTGACACCTCCGATATCAATCTCCTCGACGGCCTCTGGGATGGTAACGTTGATGCGCGCGACGGTCTCGGAGAAGGGGTACAGGTTGCATACGACGAAGTCGATCTTGTCGATGCTGTTGGCGGAGAGGTCTGAGTCGTCCGAGTCGAGGTCGCGCGCGAGAATGCCTCCGTGAACGGCTGGGTGGAGCGTCTTGACGCGTCCACCGAGCATCTCAGGCGCCTTGGTGATGGCAGAGACATCTTCCACGGGGAAGTTGGCCTGGCGTATCATCTTGGCTGTGCCGCCTGAGGCCAGCAGTCGTACACCACATTCGTGCAGTCCCTTAGCCAAGTCAAGAAGACCGGTCTTGTCATAGACTGACAGAATCGCTGTCGCGTGGGGTTAGGAGTGATCTATGGGTACTGGAAGCGTGTGGTTACCTGTCTTTTGGCCTCCCATGTTGACTATGCTTTGAGTGTTCAGTTGTCAATTGAAGAGAGACAGTCAGTTAAAGCAGAGATCTGGGGTACAAAACAATGGCGCACGACACGTTGTGGAGATTTTTTTGGCCGTCGCGGGGCTTAGAAGTGACCTCATTTGCCTGCCCCTCCATGGCTTTACCCCGATTGGCCAAAGCTCGTCTCCGCTACGCGACTGCGAGACGTAAACTCCAGATCAATACGGCGCGTATCCTTTTGATATACACGTAGCTCCCACAGTGCATCGCCTGTCTCGCCAAATTCATGTTCTGTACCGATCATGGCATCCACTCACCGCTCCTCAGCTCCTCTACGCAGAGTTGAGCAATGCAGCCAATCGCTATCGCCATGTCGATTATCGCGCCTCGGTTCTCCGTTGCGATACGGATATATCAGTCGCTCAATCTCCCAATATTCATCCTTCACGGCTTAGACCTCATCGCGGCGCGCTTTTCTTTTTTGTGTCACTTGCATACCCGCGACAAGTCACCACCCTCGCGCCAACGTGCCGTGGGCCTCCCGACCCATCCATCTTCGAACGCACAATTTCGTAGCCAACGCATTGAGATCCCGTAGACATCATGGCAACGCATAGTAGTGCCGAAGACCTCATCAGCCATCTCCAGTCTATTCTACTAGAACTCAACGCGAACCCCTATCCCGATGTCGCATGTCCGCCAAACCTACCTAAACGCGCTTCCGTAGCCCTCATACTGCGCATACAGCCAAACTATTCGCATTGGCCTGACAGCTCCGATAGCCCTTTGCCGCCTCGACGCAGACGCTCCTCTGTCGCACAGCCCCATTCCGAATTCGACTTTGAGTCGTCACTAAGCGCCTTCTTTTCACAAGAATGGGTCAAGCACGGAGATCCTGAGCTACTCTTCATAAAGCGAGCGGCACGAGTCGGTGATAAGTGGAACGGACATGTTGCGTTGCCAGGTGGAAAGAGGGACCCAGAGGACGAGGATGATCAGGCAGCAGCAGCTAGAGAAGCGCTCGAAGAGGTTGGGATTGATCTGAGCCCTGCCAATGCGATTGCGGTCGGCAATTTACCGCAGCGGATTGTCACAACGAGCTGGGGCAAAGTACCGTACGTCGTCACACTCAGCAGCACTTGGACTTGGATCATGGACTCTACAATCGACCGAACCTAGGCTGACAACAAGCAGACTCATGGTACTATGCCCGTACATCTACCTCCTGACCTCTCCCGCCTACCCACAGCAACGCCTGCAACCCACCGAAGTAGCCTCCTCACATTGGGTCCCCATTCGTGCCCTTCTCTCCCCAGCTCTCCGTACACACGAATACGCCGATGTCTCGGCACGTCTCGCCAAGTCCGAACTGGGCATCAAGCGCTGGTTCCTACAAGCCATGCTGAGCAAGATGATGTTTGCTGCCATACAACTCGTGCCAGCCAACTCGACGCATTGCGCAACCATCCCTGACTTCATACCCGTCGAAGCAGTGGCACAGAGTGTCACAAATACAATCAGAGAAGCATTGGCAGGCCCCGAGGGTAGATCCAAGGACCGTAGGCCTCCATTATTGCTATGGGGGTTAACATTGGGCGTCGTGAGCGACTTTCTAGAACACATGCCACCACACAATGCGCTAGAACTATGGACATACCCTACATTTACCAACTGGGACGTGAGATTTGTCATGTGGGCCATGTCGTATCGGTTCCGGAAGCAGAAGTCCTTGGAAATGAGCACAGCCGCGTCGAGCGTAACAACAACGACAAGCCAAGATACAACAGAACTGCCCACTCAAGACTTCCCTGGCATTGGCAGTGAGGCAATTGGGTCTTTAGAGGAAGAGAAGCCGGGCGAGGTCGGTATAGCTGGCTTGGGTGTAGGAAGAGGGTGGGGACAAAGCGGGAGAGCGAAGATGATGGCAAGGGGTGCTGCAGTGAACTCAATGCTGGAGGGTTATTATCCCCTTGTCAGGAGGGCTGTGACTACCGCTCTTATGGGTAGGATAAGCGTCGTGGCTTTGGTGGCGTATTTGGCATGGAAGAAGTTGGATGTTAGATCGCTAAGAGCACGGCTGTAGTGGTAGGACAAGACATCGTATCGTCGCATAACGTCCAGATTGTCATCTTATATTGCATTTCCATTCTACCATCTCACACGATGCTAGGTTAGGTCAGTTGTCCTTCGTTTCCCGGAACGGTAACCAATTTTCGCTGACAGATAACTAGGGAGCTTCCTGGGCTTTGCGCTCAAGCCTAATTAATCTCCCCTCGGTAGCCTTAGCTCTCGTTCAGTTTATCCGTGCATAAGCTACGGGCAGAGCCGAAGGCGCTCAAGAACCGTGTACAGACTTCGGTGGTCTTCGCACGGAACTAAGGCCCTATCGATGCCTAGGTAGGCATAGTTCATCATTACGAGCGATACATTAGTCTATCGAAGAGGAGACAAACGTTGCAAAGCACTGGGATGCGGAAACATAAGATGACTGGAATTTACTCATCGTTGATTGGAACACGTTGTAAGTATCGTCGACATGACAAAAGTTCATTATTGGCTCTTCTACACACTGCTGCCATACCCTTACCGCAAATCGTCCGCGACCCCGAAGTCCAACACCAAAGCTCAGCCTGCCAGTTGTACCAAGAACACTCGCTCACCCGAAGACGAAACGAGCGTATGAGCGTCGGGACTGGGCTCGGTACCAGCGAAGGTAGAGGAGATGAGGGCTCAAACGCGCGGCGCGTCGATTTTCGCGGACAAGTATTGTAGGTGAGCCGAGCAAACCATGGTTCAGGACCTAATGAAAACAAAACGAGCTGTGAGAACCGTGGAACGAACCTGCACACATTTTTTTTCGTGTCAGCCTGCGTGTGAGCCACACTTGACTGGTAGGGTGGTGAAAAAGCTGTGTGCAATGTAAAAAGTCCGCCTTCCCTATCCTTGCGTCCACTCTGCTGTAGTATCTGTTGTCATCAGCAAGGGGAGGGGGTAAACATACCCACCATCCAAACCTCTCAGCGCACTCGAAGTGCGTTTTCGATTTTCAGCAATGTGGACTGGGACCACTGGGAAGGCCGACCCTACCTTTGCAATTTGCCCCTTGTATCCTCCACCTCAGAACCCGAGCAACCCCAGCATGTATCTTCTGTTCAGTCGACGCATTGTTGTGGGTACTCGAGGACGCCGAGGAGGCAGGAGATAGGCGGTCGAGTGTGAAGAGGGTGGATCTGCTGGGTTGAGTCCGTCCGACGGACCTGTTGAACTGGTGATGATAATTGCTTGCAAATGCAGCACTTCTGAAGTTCGATGAGAAGCGAGGGCGGTGGATGATCGGTATCAAAAGAGGTTGAGATAGACCAAGAAGGGTTGCAGGACTTCAAAAGAGTAGATAAAAGGATGAGAGATGTGAAGAGTAGATTCGAAAGTAAGGTGGGAGAAAGATAGTGGGAGGAGGGGAGATGAGCTGTTTATAAGGACCTATGTATGTCTCTAATGACGATGCTCTTGCTGCTCTCTCAGTGTAAACAGACTCTGCACATGTGCGTTAGGAAAGCGCAGGCACAGGAAGATGGAAGGCTGGGTAGGATATGAGGGAGGAACGTTCCGACTCTACCATTTGAAAGGCCATGCATTGACTCTATACTAGGTCCTGAACACTACATGTCTATACACGCAACATCTGGAACACTCCTAAAGTCGTCTTATCCATCTCGTCCGCTTGTCGCATATGTAATGGTTGCGAGCGGTCGGAGTTGGCTGCTTCAGCGTTGCTCAAGTACGTACATATCGTACCTAGGAGGTACTCGTGGTTTTCTGCGGTGATAGTGATCGCCTGTCGTTGGTATTAAATACACATAGCGTACATATGGAAGGGCTGTCTGGAGATAGACTACTCTGAGTAGTAGTCCAGTGCATGTATAGCGACAGGCCTTCCACGCGACATTTGATCGGGTCCAATGAGCGAGCGCGCTCATGATACTGTATGTTGGTATGCTGTAGTCGAGGAGAGTAACACTGCATGTCGCGCTCATGTTTATCTTTGGAAGAAAAAAAGGGATGAATGTTATCCTTCAAACCGGGAGGGGCGGGAGGGGAGCTTGTCGACGTGTTCCTCCATCGTGGTGCCCCTTATCAGATTCCGGAACTCGTAGAATGTGAACGGTCTGCCCCCGAGCATCCTTTTCTGCTTATCAAATTCGATCTTGTCATCCTCAAACAGCTCAATCCTCATTTGTTCGTGATAATCAGGCATATGATCACCCCAATCACAACCAGTCCGATTTGGCCCACCGTTTGCTCCGATAACGCGACAACTGGGAAGTTCCTTGATGCCAAAAGCTCGTCTTACTTTCCTCAGCTTTAAACATGAATCGAGGTCAGCTATTGTACTCCAGCATCACTTGCCCACTCGCGTATGGCCGCATATGTGGTGTAGGAGCCCTGGGGAATGAATGTCGCCAAGGTCAGTACGGACTTGTCTATTGTTGAGAGGTTGCTTGCGTTTGAGAACCGGGCCCAGACTTTTTGCTTCTCGGTAGACGAGACCTCTTTCATTTCGGCTTCACATCGTTTTTTGTAGGCCTCGATAGCTGAGCTGGCGTCTTTTCGGAAGCTCTGCAAGCGATCATTGCTGCCGAGTGGTGTTTCCTCTGGATAAGCCTTTGTGTATGGGTAGAAGTCTATCAATCGAGGCTTAACCGCAAGTCGCCCTAACAGGACAAGCTGGTATGGCGGAGTAGCGAATACATTATCGTTAACAAATTCGATTGGCGCGAACGGATCATGAGGCTGTTGGCCGGCTGTCAAACGAGCTCTCTCGTCGTCTTGTTGATGCGAAGAGACTTTCTCCAGCAATGGCAGCAACTCCGCTACCCTGGAATTTTGCGAATCATCGATTTGGGCGTTGGCGTCAGAACTCCGGGGTTGATCGATGACCATTTAGTCTTGATCTCCAAGATTGAGTGGATCGCGGCTTAGGGCATCATCCGAAGTAAGCAGATCATCAAAGCCATTTCCTTGCATTATTATCCAACAATGCTCTTCTATCTCTGGCAACATTGCGATGCGGATGAGTTTCCTCCCGTCGATGAATACTTTTTGAATCTTATGTAGGCGCATGATCTGATCTCGATGATAGGCAAGCGCCTCATGAACATTCTCGGTCCTTGAGAGCTGGACAAGCCTCTGAACTCGTTTGAGGTGGAATTCAATCTTGATCTTGACGCGTTCTTCGCGCTCAACCGTGGTCTCCCTCCTGGTCTCCTGCCTGATCTTATTCGTGTTTGGCATTGTCGGATGATGTGTTGATGTTCTTGAACGCGATGGCTGGGATATGTCTGGAGCGTCTGAACGCGTGAACGCGTCGACGCGTCAGGGATGATCCCTAGCGTCAGCAAACTGTCTGACACCGCGACTCCGCGTATCCTCTTCACTGCGAGCCCCACTTCTCTTCTTTATGATGTTCGCGATGAATTTGCAAAGCGCAGAGCGTTTCTCTGGTTGCTCGTAAAGCCAGAAGCAATTCAATGTCGTCCTGAGCCATGATCCATCGTACGCCCTGCGCAGAAATCAACCACCCATTATCCGATCACGCCTCTTCCACAACAGTGTTGCGTCACAAAGAAGGAAAGAGATGACTAGCTCTATCGAAACGTGCTATCGCGAAAGCAGCTGACAGCTGGGTGCTTACTGAGCACGGAATCGACTAGTACGACCCCGCAGCCGGCCTCCGTCCAGATTTCCAATCCCCCTTGAGCTGTGATAGATAAGCAAGAATGAAGTGTGCAGTCCTCTTAAGTCCATGTAGGTACCTGAAGTTTCAATTCGTTTTCCTTATTCCAGCACCTAGTCATCTCCTACAATGCTAGATCACATCGGCATCACCGTCCCGACGTCGCGATTCGAGGAAGTTACGGCCTGGTATCTGGCCGCGCTTGCACCGCTCGGCTACAGCAGACAGAAGGAGTTTCACGGGCAGGGTGTTGGCCTAGGCCCGGACAGGTCGAACATCGTTTTCTTTATTGTCGGCAAGGGCGATGCTGAAGTAGCTGCTACACACATCGCATTTCGATGCACGGATCGAGATACGGTTGAGAAGTTCCATCAAGAGGCGGTGGAAGCCGGTGGGAAAGACAATGGGAAGCCGGGCTGGAGACACCAGTATCATGCAAAGTACTACGCTGCCTTTGTAATGGATCCTGTTGGGTAAGTGTCGTCGCCAGGTGGTGGTTACTGTATTCGGCTGACGGATTTAGAAACAATGTAGAAGTCGTGGATCATGATGTGCCGCGATAATTGCAAGCAACAGGAGCACGTATGCCTCAACAGTATTGTCAGACGTCAACGAGATTGAAAATACGATATAGAATTACCACAGGCTGCATTGTTTATGCCGGTGCCCGCCGTGAGGTGTAGCCGTCTCCATACCGCCTGCCCATTTGACTGTTGCCAAGACCCGCGTTTGTTGACAGCTCCTTCCGTACGAATCGATCTCTTACTTTCTCAGCAACATCTTCGCACTCGCATCATGCCAATGATGCCCAAAACGGACCGCCTGCAAGCTCTGCTTGACTTTACTCGCCAGGCCAATGAGGTCGAGCAACATCGCGTCTCGCTCGAGACCTTCCTCGCTGATCTTCAGCAAGAACGTAAAGACCTCGATGAGGCACAGCTGAAGCAGATTCAGGTTAGTCAGCTGAGGCCGAGCCATCTGCTTTTGCTAATAAGCTAGCTTACCATCTACCAAACGCTCCTGAGTCTATTCGAGACCAGTATGTATGATCACGCGATCTACGAGGACCTCACTAAACGTAAACCAGATGATTCGATCTCGAAGACCACTCAAACCTCCACAAAGACAGCGTCATGTGCGATGCAGACCGACGCGGCGACAGACTCCCTTTGGGATCTATTGCCTAAAGCTCGTGACGAAGCCTACGAGCGTGGACTTGACGCCGGAAAAGACGCCGGACACATCCAAGGAATCCAGGAGGGCCGCAGCGCCGGTATGACAGAAGGCCTGGCTATCGGGTTCAAGCAGGGCCAAATGGAGGGCTTGAATACAGGGTTGGAGCAGAGCAAGGAAGTCGACATGCAACGCAGCATCGAGATGGAAAGAAAACTCAGCTATGCTGATGGCCTCGCTGAGCGCCTGAGACAAGCCAAAGAGAAGATGAAGAAGCTGGACGAAGAAGACACCAGCAGGCATATGTCACAGGCACAGGCGACTCGAGAGAAAATCATGGCGAAGCTACCTTCAAGGTTGCCCGCAATTGTCCCCAGGGAGGAGAACGAAGAAGAAGTCAAACCCAAGCACAAGCCCAAGCCTAAGCCTAAGCTCAAGCCGACGACCAATGGTGTCGATCCATTTGCATCGCTTTTCAATCTGGCGCGCAAGAAGTAGACGTGCAGTGGGAGGAGACTGGAAGGAATGTACACAAAAGGAAGATACCCAATGGAGCCAGGCGAAGCACAGTCAGTGTATCTTCGAATACATTTAAGGCGAATACTACTGATATTCTCCTGGAAACCTCATTGCACCCTGCGTCTCCCTCGAGCGCCGCTTACCAGGTTTGGCAACGCGATGCCACATCTTATCCATCGGGAGTAGACCTCTAGCTTACCCACAGCCACTGCCAAATATCTCAAGGACGATGCTTGGTACACCGCTGTGGTTTCAGAGACAGTCTCCCTTCACTCCCAGGCCAAGCGGTCTGTTGAGTCCCTTCATGATTATAATAAAACGTACAACCGAACTTGCTCATCTTTTAGGATGAATTTCTTCACCTTCTGGCATACCAAATACTCACATACTGCTTTCACGATGATGCAGTTGTGCTGGTGCCTCGAAATCTGAAGCCAGTGAGTGATACGTGAAGTTCGCAAACGCACACGCGAGGGTACAACGCATCACAGCAGGAACTCCGACGAGCACGTAGTGGCGGAGTCTCCGCAGACGCACGGCATTCAGCAGTTGCGTCATTCTGTGGTTAGAGATGGTTAGTGACAGCGACACATAATATTAACGCTTCGCTTTCGTAAATTATTCGTCATACGCTTTCGTGGTCTACGGGAAACTTAGTACTTCAGTCCACAATTGTTGAGCGTTGTAGTTCTGAAGGCATATGAAAGTCCACTCGTGCCTGTGCTCCCACACATCTCACTCACTCGTCCATACTCACATAACAAAAACCCGATCGAACTCTTGCCGCAAGATGTCTAACCTCATGTGGCCTGTACACGACCAGGTCCTCGCAGCAAGCTGGGAAATAGCGCGCGAGATATCGTCTCGAGTCGAATCCATCCACCAGCGCCTTAATCGAAGCCTCCAGTACAGTAACGATCGCGAAGAGCGAGCCAGTATCAGAGCAAAGCGGAGAACTCTTAGCAAAAATGCTGTTCTTTGTGAGCGGACCTGGGAGCTCTACGACTGGGCCCGCAATGATGAAGGAAAAGCCGCGCGACCAGAACATCCCTGGGACACTAAACCAGCGGCACAGTCAAAATACGCAGAGGCGTTGGGACTAATGAAATATGAGCAACCCATATCCCCGATGGGGGGGCGTGATAGAGCTACATCAGATGTTGCAGGAAGCATTTGACACCAGTGCGGAATTGTTTTACTAGAATATGCTTTCCAATGAAGCACACACTATATTTAAATAGGAACAAAAACCGTCATATCTCCTTGAGCCTGTCCAACAACCCCTCAACCGTAGCATCCAGCTTCTGAACCACATCCCACGGCGCCTCTCCCTCCCCCGCACTCACACCCATGGCCTCACCATACACATTGCCCCAAGCCGGATACCTTAGCATGGGACTCCTTGGGTGCCAGTCTTTCCTCCATCGTCGCTCTTCTCTCTTCAGTGTATTGATCCGCGCTAACAACTGATGAACTTCTACTAGTGTGGGAATGTGTGCTGCGCGACCGATGGTATATTGTTTCGAGGGGGGTGTAGCGGCTTCGGCGGCTCGCCATCGGGCTTCTATATCGAGGGCCGTTCGGTGAAGGTTCAAGGCGCGGGTTGAGACAGAGTAGAGGAGGTAGTCGTGTTTGGCCCATGCGGCTTCGTCGTAAGAGATGTTTGGTGGGGGTGGGCTGAGGTGGTGTTTTACAGTGGGACGAGGTGCTGAAGTAGAGGAGCGTGGTGTCTCGTTGAGGGATCTGGGAGGTTGCGAGGAAGAGTGTGGTGTATGGGCTGTGGAGCAGGGTGTGCCATCGGACGCGCGTGGTGTGCCGGTAGCAGAGTGTGATGCTCTGTCGAAGGAGCGTGGCGTGTGAGGAGATTCCGGTGGCGTTAGTTCCGAGTATCGAGAGCCGTAGATGGACGGATTTCGCGCTGGAGTTGAGTAGTGAGAGGGTTGATACGAGGTTTGCGGACTGGTCTTCGGTGACTCAGCTGAGCGATGAGCTGCGATCTTGGCTGAGAACTTTCGTAACATGCTCTTGAGGTTGAGGTCAGTGATTAGTTGACGATGGAAGTCTTACCTTTTCGAGGAGGTTGCGGATATAGCGACAACGATGAGCCTGGCAGAAAGGCGCCATTCACCATATTTGCCATTGACTGTGTAAATTCATCATGCTGTTCCTGGTTGTTGCACATCTGCAGTGAATTGCGTGACTTGAAGATTGGAATGTGAAGCAAAGGCTCAACCTATCCGTGACAGGTAAAATATTACATATATTTTCACTATCGGCCCTGGCAACAGCCCGAAATCCATATCATTTTAACTAGGAACACCCTCATACTCCCAACCATCGACTAACCTCCTCTTCCTTCCCCTCTTGTTCTCTCTGCGGTTCGCTGCACACTTGATGAAAAAGGTAAGCACGGCCAGCAGGAAGATAATCACAGCCGCGACCGTCGGCACCACGACAATACGCGTACGATCCGTGTCAGTAGTAGGAAGATATGGACATGTCGCATTGAGTCCGATGACCCAGCAGTCCGGTATACTCAGACTGTTCATGTTGATGTACAGGGCATCTTCATTAGGAGCGGCGGCTTGGAAGGCAGAAAACAGATGCGAGTTTTCCAGCGCAGTGTGTGGAATGCTGAATTGATATGGGTCTTGGCAATAGCCTTCAGCATTCGCGTAGTAGGTTGAGTCGTCCGATATACGCCAATTGTAGGGTTGTCGTGGATCGTGGCAGGCCACGCGGTGGCGTCGGTTGCAGTCTTCTATGCGCCAGCGCTGTGGATATGGCGACTTCATCATGACGACGCAGCGATTGTCGTTCGTGTCGTCGCCTTCTCCGGAGGAATTGAGAGGCTGACCAGGTGCAAAGGTCCATAGTGTTGAGTGTACATATGCGGCGTAGGGTAAAGGGTTCCTGTCTGCAGTTGTGTTTGCGAGGGTCTGGTTGAGGAAGGGTGTGATGCCGCAGGCGGTAAGATTGGTAATGGAAGGTACAGTTGAGTGAAAGTCCGGCGTCGCGCTGATATCAAGTGATGGTGCATCAGCAAGAGCCCAAGACGAGTTTCTTGCTGAAGTCAATGTGTTGTCGGAAGACACAAACAAGCATCCGGAAGTTACACGCCCATCGGAGCCAAGCGACACTAACTGCTCGTCGATGATAGTTCCGGGAGGGAAGACGTATTCGAGATCTGGTCCGAAGTTGTACTTCTCCATTTGCGGATCGATCGTACCGTAACTAATGACGACCCGCCGTCGCTGCTTGAATTCCATGAAAGCTTCTGTGGGCCATCCACTTTGTGTGAAAAGCTGTCCATCGGCGTTCTTAGAGTCTTCGTAGTAACCAGGCAATGGGCGATTAGACCAATCGACGTCATACCACGAGCTGTTCAAGTTTGCACGTTGGTCACCCAAGGCGTTTGGCGTAAGTGTGTTATCAGAAAGATTACCCTGCAACACATCGCTAAGGAGTTGCCCATCTTCAGGAAGCTGGTCTTGCGAAAGGTTCGGTGCTGGAGCGTCCGGGTCGGTGATGGACGAGGCAGCATGCACATTGAACGTGAACATGGTTATCTCGGCATCAGTCGTAGTAGCTGTTATCTCGAGAAAGTCCTCTAGGATACCCGTGAGCAAATTCAGCGTCATCAGAGATGTACAATTGTAGCTCCCGATTTGTAGGAGCGGTGGTCCATTAGGGGTGGGGAAGTCGATTATGGTCGGCGTTGCTGCACTCGTCGATGAAGTAGAAGACAAAGATGGGGTAGCTGATACTGCGTTCGTTGAGCCTGATGATGACTCTGCAGACGCAGGGGTCGATGTAGATGTCTCCTGGCGTTTTCCAAGCCGTGGAGGGATATCCAGTGTAGATAGAGGAGTATCCGCGCTCAATCTGTTAGTTGTAGGCACCACTGTCGGTCCGGTCGCCACCGGTAAAGCACCCTCATCTGAGCTGTCTTCATTCGACTGGGGTAACTCCACTGGACATAGACTCCATACTGAACGTAGTGGGTCCCAGTAAGCATCGACTGTGAATTGTCGAAAGCCGACAGCTAGCAAGTTTGAGAAGCACTTTTGGAAAGCATTATGTTCGTACTGGTTATTCGTGAAGCAGGCTTGAGCTAACGATACAGCTGGCGTAGTATGGAAGTTGATGGGAAGTTGAAGCCCTACATCTCGTTGCGCCTACCATCGGTCAGCGATTCTGTCCGCTGATACTGCGTACGTCGAGCAAAAGCCGACGGATCTAGAATGGTGTCACGAAGACCGCGCATGGACGTGTGATGGAACACAACCCTAACACCGTGCGACTACTTTCACTGGAGACTGCGCGGAGTACAGGCAGCTGACACTTACTCTAAATGCCTCATTCCAGGGCTCTATCCAACGCGTGTTCACAGCGCTCTGATCCGGGTTATACAACTTGTTAGCCGACATTCCCGCTGGCGAACCTGGGCACCACCACCACCACCACAAACACGTGGCTCACACTTCGCGTGCAACGGAAGGGATGAACGACGACCGTAAGCAGGGGACGCGATAAGATATGTTTAGAAACTGGATATGATGTGTAGTGCTCGTATATGCAGATGCAGGTGTTGACGATGGGTAGGATGTCGTTGGGATCTGCAGGGCTGGATGCGCGACCGCGACGGGGTAACGGCATCACGTGGCAGCCCGCTAGTTTTTCCACCAATCCCCTTCCGGCTAAAGCGCGGCTGGCCAATGATGACGATTCGCATCGTCAAACTCACCGTTCAAAACACCATGACTGCAATTTGCCAACGACGATTCCAGCAAAACGTCCGGTGGCTTGCATCATGATTAAGCACCGGGTCGTGTGCAGAACGAGTGGGGGAAATGGGGCATCACTGTTTACCCTTGATATAGTCCAGGTGTTCCGCATATTGTTCCCGAAGATTGGAGAAGGTTGAGTACCAGCCTCGCACATACGCTTAATACGGCCGTTATAGCTAGGCTTACACAATACCGAACCCACGTTGCTGGCAACTCGCTACCTACCGCCTGTAAGCGAGAGCTCGTGTCTCACTGTTCTGTACGACCTTGATCGACGTCCGAAAAAATGTTGAAAGAGCTTGCCGGCTGGATGATATGCAGGTCTGCGGCGCGAGGGAAAGCGGACAATGCGTTGGGAGCGCATGGAAGGTTGCGAAAAGCTTGCTCTCGGTCACTGGGAGTAATGCAGGTGTGCGACGCACGCTGACGCTTACAGCACGGATTGCCACAAGTACATTAAACGGGAGAAAAAGGGCCGCTGCAGGAGATGATGAGGTACTGCTCTTACGACCCAGTTTTACACGGGATGTCTCCTGGCTACGGATGCAACGTCGCCGTTGTGGCAAAAGGTCCGCTAGCTGTAGGCGATCGAAGCAACGTTGCCCACGGTAAAGCCGAGAGAGTCGGAGCGGTGACTCCGGAAAATTTCTGCACCTTCATAAATGAGGTGATCGGATAAGCGAATAGAAGGCTACAGGCAAGGGGGCGTTGGATGAGTGCAAGGCAAGCCGGTGATGCGGTAGGTGCACTTCTGCCTTCCGACAGGACGGGCAAGGAAGTCGCAAGGAAGTCTGAGATAGCGACACCTGCGAACCCTTTGTTTGGCATAGCAAGATGGTATCGTTGCATCGAGATGCCTCCATTTGGAAAGTGCGTACACTGCCACAGGAGGCGGCGGTCATTCTGCAGTGTCAACACATTCGTTCGCAGTCGCCGAAGCCGAAACCGAAGCGAGCCCCAGTATCGGCAGAAGCAGAAACCACGGCTCCAGATGTTGCAACAGTTCCGCACGTCCGCGGGGAAATCCACAGCTGCTTGACGTCTAACGTCTTCACTGCACATGCACACAAACAAACGAAGTTTCGCCTGGACCCAGAGACTCCACACGACTGTTGACGCAACCGCTCCCCGTGCGCGTTTCACCGAGGCCATCAGAAGGTTACCGAGCGTGCCGAGCAGCTCAAAGTCTGGTTGCGAGGGTCTTGGTCTGACACCCGTCTGACTGACTCTGACAGTCCTGCATACCCCTACATATGTAGTGCAGTTGTGAAAGCGACGTGTTTCATGCATAACTACTACCCCAAAGCTGGACATGCGATCCTCGACAGAAGAAAAAGGTTTCACCATCTAAGCTGCATGCACATGTCATAAGTTCGACCGGTCGGTAGCCTCGCCACGAGCCACAGACTGTAGGCGGAGAAGGTCCGGCAAGATCTACGCTAGAGGACGACGTTGTGATGCTTGTGCAGATCGAAGGGATCACGACATTGACACGCAGGAACCCACCGTCAGAAGGGCCTCCTCGAGTCCCCTGATGATGCTGCTGGTAAAAGAAAGCATGCTCAAGACCGAGTTACGCCGGGCTATCGTATCCGTACCGTTCAACGTTCAACGGTAAATGGCGATGTGCATGCGTCTACTCGCCCCCGAACAGATGCGAATCCGATGTCCCACAATACCGCCGTCCCTGGTACCGATGAAGTCGCATTGTGACATGTATGGGCCTGAACCAAAGCCGATGGATCGCGGACCCGAGGGACTGGGAACTGAAATACTCCCTCTCAAGGACGGCGACCTTCCACTAACGGCTCAGCGACGGCGTGATCATTAGCATCACAGGGAAGGGCGGTAGACTATGGGATTGAACGGCGACATCCTCTCGACGGCGCCCACGCGGTACCAAAGTTCAACAGACGCTATCGATTAGACCTTGTGTGTCCGCATTAGGGTACCAGAGTTTGAGCTATGCCATATGCACAAAATGCCCGTGTCTCTCCAACGCTCCTTGCACCATTGCGGACATGGAGATATACGCTAGTCGCAAATCTCGCGAGCCGTCGCGCACTAGAGCGAAGATCAAAGTCTAATGGCCGTAAGCGGTAAGGCCACCAGTAGCCGCATGATCGAAGACCCAGTGTCTTGTTTTCAGTGTTTTTCTAGTCGCCGACCCTGGCTGTAGTGAGATTGGCCGATTGGAACGTTGACGTGGACGGCTCAACGATCATACCGGGGACGTTGGATCGTGAACTGCAAAAGATGCGATTCGCTCGGATGTGCGGTGGCAGAGGGCCAGAGCGACCGTACCGCACCATGCGGGATTGAGTGTATGATTCGTGAACACAGCTAGAGTGAGGAGACTATGGTGCGTGTATCTGTGCGTACAAACTGTAGGTGCGTGGATAGTTCGCAATTTCCACAGCTCCAAAGCCAGTGTGGCATGGGGAAGTCTTCCGAAACTATTGAGTCCGTCACGGATTGCTATCGTGGTATACGTCCATCCCAGGGAATCCCTGGGGACGTGTTTCCAGAAGTGCCGAAGCACATCTTCATGTCGCAGGTATCACGGGTGACAGATTCTTGCTCAGCGGTCCAGAGCCCCACCTCGGCCACTATTGGTGGCAGTGTTAGGAAAAGGAGCGACCAATCACTCAATTTAGAAGAAGATATTGTTCGTCAGCTGTGTGGGTCCAGTCCAATAAGGAGACGGTGTAGGCGACACTGCAGGTGCTGCGACGGGTACGACTGCGTGGACTGATCGGGATCGCGGCGAGATCGCTCCATGCATGCGTTGAGGTGTGGAGAGGGGTTTTCAGCGTGGTGGGTATCGCGGACGATTGTGAGTATCTGTCACGAGTGGGTACCACAAGCAGTCGAGATGTCATTGGAGCGGTGAGCTCTCGCCTTCAAGCGTTTAGAAACCTGGAACTTAGTGTTCGACGATCGTTGTTCAGTGTGGGAACTCCTTGTTGTACCCCGTCAGGCCTTCAAGTGAGGTAACTTGGTACTGGGAGTCACTAATGGATCGTGTGATGATTGAAGTTTGTTCACAAGGTCATGGTTTGCTATAGAATGTGTTGTGTTTGATTGGCGTCGATGTAGACGCTTGCTAGTGCTGTCGCACTGCTGGGTATTATTACTGGCGACTAATTGTCGCAGTGTACAGTGAGACCTCCCTGGGGCCGAATGGAGAAACGCCGTAGTGTGTCGAACCTCGACATAGGCGACGCTACTTGGCTCAGACAGGCCAGAATAGAAACAGAACAATGTGCCTCCCAACCGTGGCACGTGAACAGAGATGCTACATGGGGTATCCTGAGAGTCGTGTACAGTGTTTCCCTTTTTAGGTCCATGCAAAACAAGAGAGAACAAGGTTGAAAAGCTTTGTAACAAGCAAAGTGTCGATCATTGAACATCGGCCATTAATAGAAGTAGGTTGTTTGAAACATGCGACGTATAGACAAGAAGGGGTATGGTGAATAACGTGAAACATGATAGACAACTACATGATGTTTCGCAGCGACATCCTGTCCTTTGGTGAGACTGGCGCACTTCTGGCTTCTGATGGAACAGAGGGCAGCACGTAGGGTGACGGTAGTTGTCGCGCAGCTGGACTGGTGCTTGCACTCGAGGAATGAGGAACCGAGAGCGTCGGCTCTGCGAGCGAATGGAAAGGAGGCAACGCTCGTTGGGGCACACTGGTGGGCGCAGACTGAGGCATAGAGTGGTGGTGTGTGAGCTGAGGAGTAGGCTGAGTGAGCAGTCGCGGTGGTTGTGGTCGCTCGTAGTTGGGCTCTCGGAAGGCTGGCGCAGCCTTGGGTGCTGAGGCTTCACTGCGGTGGAGCGGAGGAAGTTGTAGTGAGCCGCGTCGCCTGTGCAGGTCATACGAGGAGTCGTCTTCGGGCGCAAAGCCAGTGGTAGGCAGGTAGCGAGTGGAAGAGCTCTTGCGCTCTTCCCTGCTGCCAACCAATGGAGCAAGTGTGATGTCGAGAGGGGAAGCTGCGCCGCGAGGCGAGCGCGACTCTGAGCCGGTGTCGGTGATTAGGGAAGGAGCGCCATCGGCAGACACGATAGAGTAGCCAGAAGGCGAAGGCATGGGTGTCTCGAATCCTCGTGCTCGTACTGTGGCGGATGCTCCATAGGCTGAGATGTCAAGAGGCTGCGGTCGCGATCCGGGGTATGGCTCGAAACGCTGAGGCTGGGGCAGCTTGAGTGCATGTGGAGAGTTGGTTGGGATGTTGAGGGAGGACCTGTGTGAGTCGTGGTATGAAGACATCCGGTGCTCCTCGTGATGAGCCTGGCTGTGAGGTGCTGGGTAATGGTAGCCAGTCTGGGGGTGGTGCATGTGCTCTCGAGATCTTTGGTCAGGACGCTCAGGGTTGCGCTTGCGGCGGTTCTGGCCACCATTCCACCAGTTCTTGACTGCGTTATCGCTGCGTCCCTTTAACCGCCTTGCAATCTCTGCCCACCTCTTGCCCATCTCAGCCACCATCTTCTCAATCAGCTCCCCCTCTTCTCCGGTGATGGGATCATGGTTTAGTGTTGGCTTCAGGTTCTGGTGGTAACGCTCTCTGCATTGCTTTGGTGACCGGGAGCCAATCTCCTGTGAGATGCGTACCCAGTTGTGAGGTCCATTACGGGCAACGAGGTTAACGAGCCACTGGTCCTCGTGCTGCGACCAAGGGCCGCGTCTGTGGGCAACCATGTCGAAGTCCTCTGAAAGGGAAGGAGCGACAAAGGATTGAAGTGGGGTATTGGATCCGCGCTGGTATGAATGCGGCGGACGGTGAGCACGTTCAAGGTCAAACTCCTTGATTATGGCTGGATTATCAGGGGGATCAAGCTGTTGGTTGAGCTTGGACTTTTGCAAAGGCTGAGGATGTGCTGCATCGTTGGTTAGTTTTGCGTACATTGTCAGAACAGTGCAGACAAGGTGAGAGTGCAACCAAGACTATCTCAAAACATTTGGTGATCAAGTGCAGTGAATGACAGTGCGTATAGTTTCGATGCAACGTAGGCTGAGATGTAGTAGTGCTGGGAGCATGGTACAACAAGTGCAGCCGACGACATGGAGAGGTGATGAGTGAGGATGGGACGTACCTTGATGTGTGGGTGAGAAGCACAGAGTAAAGTGTCAGTGTCGATTGTTGTATGGTAGAGGGGAAGTTGAATGGTGGTCGACGTTGTTAGACGAGCCAACGGTAACGTGGTAGAGGCGGGCACTGGTATATATCACGACGGGCGCGGGGAGGAGTAGTCAGGACACTTGGACGCCAAGGCGGTCGAGGAGCTATTGACTTGTTCGGGACGGGCAGATGTGAGCGAGGATTCTGCTTTTCTAACGATGCGGCTAAGGCACTGGTGAGATGGTGGACGGAGAGCGCTGGGGCGTCATGCGGCGCTCTGAGCGACTAGCCGGGCCCTGAGCAGCAGAGGGCTAATGTAATCGTTGTCGACGACGCACACAAGCAGCGATGGACCTGGTTAGGTGCCAGATCGTCGGATTCGACAAGTACCCTGTATCACATCGTGGCATGGCGTATGGCGCTCGCCCGGCGCCGACTTGGGACGGCAGAAAAAGCAAGCGTTGCGCCCAGCTCGCATTACCACCCTGGAAACAAGCGTAGTGAAGTGCTTCCCCCTGCGACGCTCCCTGGCCGCCGACAGCGCGCTCGTCCCCGTCGGCGGCCCACGGCTCGCGCGAAATGGTGGCATTCGCTGGGACCCCTGGCCGTTTCGTTGTCGATTCATGATGGTGCACGCTAGTAGCAAGGCCGGTGGAATTCAGAAGACACCATGGAGACAGTCAAAGATACCCCCACTCGGCGCGATACTTCGACATCCCCTGCCCACAGTAAAACCAAACATATCGACCGCCGTAGGGTTGAGCAGCAGCCTCAGCCAGCCAGCCTCAGCGGCATCCAGGATGCTCCAGTGGGCTCGACGTGGTCCCCATCACGACAAGCTCTGTGTACCGTCACCCTGGTTCAGGAAGGCCGGACATGCGCCTTGGGCCCTCTGGCGCGCTTGTCGCCCCTGCCTGACAGCCATGATGGATATGTTGGGTTTGCAGTGTCAAGCAATACGGTCTACATGTCTTGTTGAAAACGCTTCCCCATGGCAAGCACCGCTGAACTGGTGTCTCGAGCAGGCAGGCAGGCAGTCAGCACGAGGCAGGCCTCTCCAGCGCCGCACGATGCACGTTGCAGTCAGCACTTGGGCGTCGATCAAACGGGTGCTGGTGCTGGGTGCGGACCGGGCGCGAGTAGTGTGATCGTCACCGGCCCTCACATTGGAGGACACGAGGTCGGCGAGGTGCGCTTGGCACTACGACGTCTCCTTTTCGGGCCTGTCGTTCTCCCGAGGCTAGCGCGGTGCACTCACATCGAACTGGGCGTGTTTCTGGTGTTCTATTTTCTGGCGAGTGCGACACGCAACCTGTTTCCTGAGGCGTGGTGTCTCTGGCAGCGCTGGGGTGGAGTTGAGGGTGTCTGCTGGCGGCCGTTGGTGGGCTGGAGTGATCTGCCGGCGGGACAGTAGCGAAAAGTAGCGAGCCCGCTCAACTGGAAAGGCTGCACCAGTGAGCGCCTGCCGTGGCATTTGGAATATTGCTAGCTAGTAGCCCTCCAGTTGCGCTCCAGCCCTTTTCGGCAGCCTCGGAGGCCACTCGCGCACGCTTTGGGATGGGCAAAACCGTTGCTGGCCAAAACACATCGTCACCCCTCTCCCATTCTATCGTCGCCGAAGTCACCCACTAGGGCGATCGCAGCCTGCTGCGGGTATCTTGGTGATACCGTGACGCTATCATCTCGATCGTCCTGCACGCTGCAACGAGACCCTCGAGAGCACCGAGTGAGGCTGTCCGTCGCCCAACTTTCTCCATTCATCCCCAGCCCGACGTCGACCTATTACGCCATCGGTGGGGACACTGTACATGTACTCAATCTGACACGGCTGCTGAAGGCTATATCGCGAGTCACCCATGTCGGCGCCGCGCAGAATAGAGACAGCCTCGTCCAGACTGCTGCACACCCCACGCGACATGGTTCCAACTCTGTTCCCTCACCCAGCACCAGGGCTTGATTTCGTTCGGATCGACCGAGGTCTCGCCATTCCTTGCCCGTCGCATGCGGCGCAGGCGTGGCTGATGCTCCAGATCCGGGGGTTTCATCGCCCATGCCGTGATCAGCCTAGCGTGTCCCAGCCGCAAGGCCTAGCGTTCACGGGACGCACAGCATCCGGCCGAGTGGGTGCTTTGTTTCGCTGAGCCTCAGCCGCTTTCTGCTGCACACGCGCTCCAATGCAGCAACCTCGCCGTTCACCCGACGACTTTAGTTGTCCAATCTGCCCTTGCCATCCATACGTTCGCTTCAAATCGCCTGCAGGACTCAACGGTCGCCGTCGCCGATCGCTTCCGAGCCCGCAATTTCGACAAACGAATGACAATTCCATGGGCTGCATTTGCAATTCTGCTACATGCACGCAGACGTGTGGCCCGCCGCTGATTCAGCACCCCCGTCGTGACCAGGGTCGAAAGCGATCGCAGCAACAAACTCTCGCCAAACACGCAGGCCTGTCTTTCGCGTTCGGATTCGCGCAACGGCTGTTTGTTTCGAGGGCGCCCTGGTGGAGACTGCCTGAGTCGCCTAATCGCCAAACCATGTACCACCGAATGTCATCCATGACCCTCGACCCCTTCTGTTCCTCGGAGCACCACGCGGGGTCTTCCGCTTGGTCGACGATTCTTGAAATCCTGGCTCGCTTTCCGTCGTGGTTGGCTGCTTCGTATGTCTGCCGCAGCTACACACCTGCCCATCCTCAACCATGCCATGCAGCATCCCGTCCTGTGGGACGAACGTTGGTTCCAACACTCAGGTGTGGCTCCTGCCGTGTTCGCTGCGATGTCTGAGCAGCACAATTTGCAGATACAGCATTCCGCTACGGCTAGCACGCTTTCGTGTCACGTCTTCCATATGACTTCGACCGAACATGCTCGGGCCTGGGTCTATATCCACGTCTACACTGCTACTGCTCCAGATGCCAGATTGCATCCTGTGCAAGAGCGGTATGTTTCCGCGCTACCTTCCGCGCGCCTCGTAACCCTCTTGCGAGTCGCGGAATATTGGATGTCGTCGGCGAAACTCTCCTAGCCAGGATTGCCCTCTTCCTTGACCGGCACAAAGAGAAGATGCGCGCGGGTGGAAGGGGATGAAAGACCCACGGATTGGCAAAACCTTCGCAGCATGTTCCCTGCAAGTGACGCCACGCCTCGATCACCAAGCGCCTCGCGACACTCGCCGCATAGTGCATCCGATGTGCACCTTACAGCAATGGCGACCGATGTCGACCAATTTACCATCTTGACGTCCTGCGCTGTGCAACTGTATGATCGCCGAGGACGGCTCTAGAGTCATCAGTAGTACGCTCACACCTTGCTTGTCTGACTGCCCCGCCCCCAATATCGTATTCGTAGTGCTATATCGTCATTGACGGCACAATCCGACCAGGGTTTGCGGATGCACGTACTACCGTAAACAATTCTCCAGCACAGCAAGGGGCGCGAGACCCGTGTGAATTTGCATTTCCTCGAATAACTCTCCATAGGATCAGACAGGGATACCCAGCCACGATCTCACAGATCAGATTAACGAATGATCTGCACTCAGCCAATAGCAAGACCAAATCGCTGCGCAAACCTTCTGAAACTCATTACCCACCTTCGACAGTAGTTTGTTCTTCCCTCATGGCTTCTTCATATCGGCCGGGACTCCCATTGGTGGTGGCGTGTACCGCTCTTCCTAAAACAGACTGCGGTTGACGAAACGTCTTCAAATTGAGGTTTGCAGCTCACGGTTATTTGACAGCGGCACACCAGCGGCCAAACTGATCGACTTGTCCGCGCAGTGGCCCGCTCCAGCCTCACTATACAAGGCACCCACGCCTGGGTGGCAGCACAGCTCAGCATCTGGCCTACATGCGACTTTCGAGTTTACACTTTACGCTGCACTCATGCTTCAGGTGCATCTGGGGTGGTGGCACTACACCACCGAGCAGTTTTCACGCAGGAGCTCATGCAGCAGATTGCCCTCGCTGACTCGTCATGCACTACATCTGCACACGTTAGCGCGCTGCTGCGGCGCATCCTCTCGACTGATCTAAAGCAAGATGCGGCGCCAGTGAGGGAAGGCCGTTTAGCTTAGATCTGAGCGGCCGCCGAATCGGATCGGCATGCCCCACCAAAACCCCTTTCTCCTCGCTCAAAGGGCTGCAAAAGTAAGTACAACCATATTCTCGTCTGCAAATGCTATCCGAAATCAGCAGCCAAGGTTGTTGGCATCCTGTACGACTCATCGCTCGGCCCATGCCGACACACACCTTGTTGTTGCCTCTCAACATCTCCATGATTCGCCGGGAATGTGCGTGACTTGCATCACCCGCCCACACGGAAAATAGCACTGGACGGCTGATCATCTGTTTCGGAAATTCACCGTCTGGCGAGACGTTAATGGCGTTGATCACGATGACACCTTACCAAGCTCTTTGCGGATCATCAATAGACATGATGCGGATGACCTCGCCGGGATACTAGCACTTGGTGATGAATGCGTGTGCACGCAAAATCTTGTACAAGGACTGGCCTGCCGGTCCAGGCACTTGGTTCTGTACCTATCGAATGAACCTATGCCACCGATCCCGTGTTCGGCCGCGGCCATACAATGCCCGCAGCCGCATCACTACCCGCACGACATGAAGCGGCGCCGAAGCCCCATTGTTCACGCTTGAGAAAGCTTCCTCTTTACTGTAAGTCGGCCATTGTGTCATACTCCTTCCTTTGCTTCAGGTCCATCTGTGCGTACTATGATCTGCAACACTGATGATCGACCGGATGACCAAATCCGGAAGGAGATCCACGACTCGTGAGCCTGCTTGCGTGCTCATGGCGATCAGGGTATCATGTTTGCTTCTTCGTTTCCTGTAGGGCTCGCAGTCAAGGCATTCACTGCACTGCCTCGCCTCACGTTGTCATCCCCTTTTGTGTACTGCCGAATTTCCGAACCCAATCCTTTGCAACGCAACACTGCTGTGTCAATTGCTGCCCTATGCTTCCACAGGGCATTCATCAAACACAGGGCACCACTCAGGACGTTCAGGAACGTCAACGGTCGGCCCCGTTCACGTCTGAAGCATGATCTAGCATCAAATTGGATCCTCGTACAGGGATAATCGCTTCACTTTGTTGGCAAGAGCTGGATGAGCGTTCACCGTTTCTTGACAGAGACGGCGCAGCACGTCCCTATGTCGTTGGGAATGACAGCGCATCGTGCGAGCAGGATGTACCCACACTATGCGGAGTCTTCAAGCCGTGTAGAGCCATTCACGGTTAATTGTTGACCAGCATTCGCTCGGTTTCGCATCCTTTCACACACATGATAGCTATAAACCTGACTGGACAATATCTGAGGGATTCTCCGGAAGGCAGCGCCGATCTGCATGCAGCACAATGTTGCATGTTAGCTTATGGTTACCGCTTTCGGATTATCAGCTTATCGTTTTGTTCTCTGAATACGCCGAGCACCAATCACGGAGACGAGTCGAGCACCTTTGAGGCACTACAGAATCCTGTTTTGCGGACTCGCTATTCTTTTCGACCATCACTGACTCGTTACGATATCGAACGATAACGAGCAGTGTAGCTTTGGGCTCCAAACCTTCACCGTTGGATACGCGCGCTTGTAGGCATGAGAAATTCCGGTGGTTAAGCTGGACATCAGGAGAAGCTGAAATCAGTCATGGGAGCGAATCATAACCGCCTCTGCACAGTGCACAAGAGTTTATCCCTCCGTTTTGCTGTTTGCTTCATTCAGCGTTGAATATCGTTTTGATGCCAATCCTCAGGCTGTTCTCCTAGTTGAGAACGGCTGTGCTGTACTACGTGAAAACGGGGGTACATCTGAATCTGCTATGGCAGACAATCGATCTATGCACCTTTCCCTAGCGAAGTCGAGCAGCAATTGTACTTTGCTCTCCCTTTTTGGTTCATTCCTCAGTCTTCCATCAGCCCAAGATACGGTTTGCGTCTGCTATCACCTGTTCGGTTTCCAAGTGCAGCTGCTGTCTTGTTGTAAGACAGCTGTTCGGTAAATTTTCGCAACATTCATCATTTCTTTCGTCCAGATAATTCTATCTACTATGGCACTGACACTCTCATCAGATTTACGACCCTACAACTGGAGTACGCCCTACATAAAACGTACAATTCCGGACGTGAACTCACGCATTCACCAGTACCCAGAATTGTCATAGACTCAGCTCGTCAAGCTCGCCACACCGGTCAATAAGAAGCACCACCTCGCTTCCATTCTCAATGACGCTGTGAAAACTGTTATCTCACGCATCGCACTTGGTGCATGAGTACCACCTCACGTTGGACCTTCTACGACACGCGATGTCCGTTCCGGAATCCCGTTAAGGTACCTGGACAGCGCCAAACACGAAGACCCAGGGCCACGGTAAAATTACGAAGCTTGTCTACATGTGGTCCTACAATTAACCCTTGCGGTCATGAGTGGCGGAAGAATTAGGACGGATATAGTGAGTTGATGATACACGGCAGTTTAGGGTTGGACGTGGGGTAACGCAATGACGAGGCGCAACTTGCTGATTAAATTGCGCAGTTAAGCGGTGCATGGGCTGTACCTATTCCATCGTTGCAGTCAGGTCGACGGATGCGAACATGCGACTGGGCATCATGGAACAGCTCAGCGAAATGAACACCACACACACAAACAGGGTCGCGGCAAAATACCCCACCGAAGAATGGACAACATTTCTCTATGAGCAGCAACGCAGGCCCACTCGCTGAACGTTCAGCTACCCTGCCATCAGCATCCACGAGCTGCATCTGCGCCCTTCAGCAGCCATCTTACATGAGCAGCACGGCAATCCCGGTTGGCGAGGATCATAGCTCAGCCAACGAGCATATACCCCTCGTGCTCTCTGGTGCCACTCTTCGGAAGCCCGTCAGAAGCTGAACACGAACCCGGGGCCTCGCACCTGGGTCCAACGCCCGGAAGCGCCGCCTACTGTAGCATGCTTCTAGGGAGTTTCTAAAGGGTTGCACGGCGCGCACGCGAACGTCTGACTGCGTTATCGGCTGGCCGCTGCGCAGGTCTCGTCACTTCTTTCAGTCGATTCAAGAACCCTCAAGCACGCGAAACCCCTCCCAGCACTGGTTCTCACAACCCCATCGATTCTCTGTCTCTTCCTTCACTAGGGTGTCATACTCCTACAGGTGAATGAATCTGTACCTCCCGGTCGCATTTCGCACCATACTCCCCAATCTGTCAATTGCGCGGGCCGTAGCCGTCCGGAACCAATCTCCAGCGTCATCCACCCGTGGCTTGCAGCTTGTCTTGCCTGACACACGGACAAGGGCCCTGGCCTCCCCCATGCACCCAACCAAACAACGGCGGGGTTCGGACGCAACCAGGGCAGTCAAACCTCACGCATCCAGGCATGCAAGCGAGCAGAGGCCAAAATTGCCCGCCTTAAGCCACGAGGCAGCAAAAGCCGTTGTGTCACGCTAAACTTGATTTATTTATTTATAGCGCTGCGCTGCGCTGGGCTAACGTACATTCCTTCCACTCAGGTGTCCTATCTCACGCCTCGGGAGTCGGAGGCGGCAGGTAAATGTGCGTGTATATCCGCCGGCAATCTTGACGCAGAAGCGCGATATCACATTGCGGTGCGGTTTTCCTTGGGTTTGTATACAGCTGCCTGCGGGTGTCGCGGTGTTCGCGATAGTGGATAGTGGAGCCCTGTATTAGGCCCGATGCCACCCGTCATCTACGACTCTGCTGTGCATCGCCCGTTTGCAGTAGAAGGCGCGAAATTCTTTGCGTTGCAGATGTGGAGACAATTCCGGCTGATGAAGTAATGTACACGGTATGTCACTCTGAACATGGCCCCTTGTGTAAGTGCTCGCCGAGGCCTTGTACAGCACTGATAGTTCTGTACCGTGTGGCTTCGTACCGGTGAAAAACTGTCCGACGTACTTTCCGGCTTGTCGAACAGTCCGAAAACAGTATCTCTTTCATCGCACCGGCCATGTGTTGCTTATATGATACTAATCACCAATATCAGCCTGGTCAATAGGTAAACTCACCGCAAACAACCCCACATCGTCATCATTCAGTAGACCACGACCAGCCCGTGCACACGCCTACCCACATCACGATCCTACAGCTGCATCTCATGTCCTGCAGCCGGTAAGCCACCACGGACCTCCTCCTAGGTGTACAATCAATTCTATGACAATCCGACTCTTATTTCTCTTAGTCAACGTATCGGCCGGGGGCCGTGTTTACGCACAAAATCAAAACGAGGACCCTGCGTCCCATCCCCCTGCTATTATCGCATCGGTCAGATTTCTCGATACGATATGATAGCTGTAGATGTCTGGGGTAAGTTTGAAGGTGAGTGAGGCGAATGGACAGAGCAAGGGCGAGTCAGCAAGGGGGCGGGCGAAGTGTAAGACCGAGGTACGATATCATTGGGAGAGTAGACGAGAATCATGCCATTGGGTATCACGTTCATCTCAGCGGGTGGTCCCAACAACTTGGTAAGCTAGTCCAACGGGCGCGTAACTGTGAGTGGTAGGCTGGTTCGGACACTTCGCCCTTGTCTTTACATGCAGATTAGTAGCTTTGGGCTGTTGCGTTGCTGCCGTATTCTGATGCGTTTTTCTTTCTGCCTCTCGATGATGCAGGACCCTAAACCTTTTCGCGTGTCGTGCGTCTGCTTCTAGAACAACCGTCTTAAGCGAAAATGGCCTGTTTTCCAGCCTTAGCCTCGAGCTTCGAGCCTCTACGTCGTCATTTTGAGACAAGGTAAAGTCAACAATGGGCGCCTGCAAGCGACAGCGCGTCACAATCCACATTTTCCACGCCCCCAATTCTTGTCGCAAAAGTGAAAATCCTTCAGCCTTTTGCTGCACGGTACGTCCGCTTCTTCCGAGTTAGTCAGGCAGGAGACAAGGTCTCTTCACATCCGTCCGCCCAGCGAACCACGTTGCGTCCCAACTACCTCATGATCTCCCGCGACCTGCGCCACACGAATCCTTCCAGCAGGGCCAAAACGGTAAAACTAAACATTTTTATCCTGTTTTGTACCCGGATCGTCTTACTTCCGGAATCCTTTGACGAATCCATTGCATCCTTGATTGCTGCTTTGGGTAAGACCGGAATGCCGATTTGGTGTTGCACGCAGTGAACGCTGGCTAATGGTGTTTTGTGGAGAGCTGGACTGCTGCTTGTCGGCGGCACCGCACGTATGAGACGTTTGAGCTGTTGGCGAAACGCATAGAAGGTGCTGCGACTGTATTGTTTGTGGTGCAGGCTGTGACAGTATGGTTGGTGCTAAGGGAATGCCGAGCTGGGTTCTTCAGCTCGAATGGCCCACACCTTTTCTGTTTGCCTCAAGACTCAGGACTACAGCCACTCGTCCGGTACTTGCAGGCGACAAACGGCTTAGATGATATGCACTATCTAAACCACTCTTGGCAATACCGCGTTTCCGTGCAACGATGTCCTGAACGGTACCGCGCGGACTGGGCCGCTCCTTTGTGGCAACTTGCTAGGTTGGTTCACCTTATCCATCTGGAGATAACCGGGAAACTTCACCTCGGCGCACGAACGGGTCAAGGTTTATAGCAGTTATTCGATTCGAGGAGTGCGATGCCGAGCCAAACACTTCGCCGAGGTCGTTTCGCTTCTGGTGGTGATTGAGGCTGCGCTGTGATGGGCGTGAACATGCTTAAGCGATGGTGATCTCCCTGCTTCGGGCGTGTCGCAGCGTTGACAGCGACGAGAATAGAGTAGTGCACAGCGAGGCTGAGGCTGGCTGCTGATCTGGTGTGGTTTGAGCATTGCGAACAACGCAGATCAGGTATGTGTCACCATTATTCGTGGGTTCAGGCTACAATCTGGGGTGCCGTTGTAGTACGGTTACCTCTGTTCCCGTGCCAAACGAAATAGGTGGTGATTCCCGAGTATGAAGGTTGGCTGGGCTTTCTCTTTGATGTAAAAGTATCAATTCTCTCACTTTATAGTGATCCCTTCACTACAGCAATCGCGAGACACAGTGATATGACCGTGACAGTATGAGAAATTATAGGAAGCGTGACGTTTCATTCTTCATGTTAGATAGAACTCTAGGTGTTATCCGCTACACTTCTACTTTAAAGTGTATGCTGCTGCGGTGGCTTTGCCGCATCGTTACCACCTCGCTTTCGACTGGAAGTAAATGAAACTAAAAGTTGCTCATTCATATTTCAGGCAACTAGAACATTCTTGATCCTACCTTCTTCATCTTCTTACTTTCTAGTAGCTCAGCTACACGCACTTCTTGCTTTGCGTATCGTCCTCGCAACCCGTCTCGATCTTGCTTAAGGCATATTCTCACATCGAGAGGGCTCTTGGCAGTTCGCGCTATGCAACCACGTCCTTTCCTCAACAGCTTCTGTGACGACGTGAGTTGATACTCTACCTCGGTCGACTGTGACACCCTCATGTTCTACTTTTAGCAAACTTGCTATGTCATTCTGTATCAGCGCCTGCGAAACACATGGATACCGCTAACTATTGTAACATCTTCGACATCCCCATATATTTGCATGCAGTCTTGACTGAGTCTCAGCCTACTTCTACGATATGACCTTCATCATTATCATCTTACCGTATGAGTTGATCATCTGTTCTCGTGCTCAATATTTCAAACGAAATTCGTCAGAAAGCGAATAGTTGCACAATCTCAGTATTTGAGCTTGCTTCTAATATATCTTCCATCGTATGTAGTAACAGCCAACACTTGCATCTACTGGAAAACCTTGGTAGAGGCTCATATACTTCTGTCACGATGACATGCTATATTGCAACTGTTTCGATTCCATCTCATTCTCTAGTGATAATACAAATATTGTTAGGACTGCTTCCTCGAGTGGTAGCTGTCAATCATTTGAGGCGCAAGTTATCAAAGTAAAAAATGAATTCGAACTATGTACAGGCGAGGTTCGCAAGTTGATGTGTACAGTATGAGAAAGGTGAGAAGGTAACTACATAGCACTCTTGTGACCCATATCCATCCATCCCAGGGTCATTCGTAAAGATGACTTCATAATCCGATAAAGCCATCTATGCGCAGTAAAGGTCGGAGGTGGCGCTGTCAAACTGGCAGTTGGAGGGGGATTGAATGGCAAGCTAGTTGGTATTAGCATATTGATATGTAAGCAAACATGTCATGTTTGTGACTTACGTTGATGTAGCCACCGTCACCCTGGCTGTAGAAGGAATTGTCGGGGCCGGACATGAGGAAGCAGTCATAGTCGGTGTTGAGGACACCAGACTTGAAGCGGACAGAAGAGAGCTCGCGCATCTGGTTGGGCTTGGTGACCTCGTAGCCCATGTTGTAGCAGACGGCAGCCTCGCCAGGGCCGGCGCGCTTGATCATCTCGGCGACAGTGGCCTGGGTGAAGGCTTCACGGGCCTGAGTGGTGAAGACGTTAGTCGAGAAACTGGATATGATTTATAGGGGTTGTGGCTTACAGCGTTCCAGTCAATGGCATCCTTAGCGATGTTGAGGGCAGCAGTGCCGGAGACACCGACAATACCAGAGACAACACCTCCGATGATGGCGATTGAGACGGGGTCGACAACACGCTTGTCGAGCTCAGGAACAGCGGGCGAAGTCCAGTTGGTCTTCTGAGGGTGAGGCCAGGTAGGGACGGCGGCGGCAGCGCCAGCGAGGAGAGCGGTAGCGAGTTGGAACTTCATTTTGGAAGATGGATGGTGATTCAGCGAGTGAAATCTGGTAGTGGATAAGAGGCTGTTGTAGTGATGATTGTAGACTTGATGATTGTGATGAGGATATTGAGGAGCACTTCTCAACCTCTTATATATCCAAAGGCTTGCGCTGATCACCACCCAAGTAGCATATACAGATATGTTATTCGGGCCATTCTCGTTGCTATCTTGTCAAAGCCTCATGTTTCTGACACCGCCCGGTGGATTGTTTTCATGATGCTCTTGGCTCCAAGCGTGAAGATACCTAGTAACTACACGCGATGGAGTGTGGCCAAGGAGAGGGATCGTCCGTGTGCCTTGCAGATATGGCGTGAAAACGAGCCATTCGGTGCGATTCCTGAACACGACAACATCAGAGCCTCAAGGTTCGTCTCCGCTTGTTCGGCGGCACTCATGAGGCTTTCCCGGCTCTAAGCGTGAGGACGCATGAGGCTGATTAGTTAGGTAGCTTGGCTAAGGAGGTTGCCGTTGTTCATGGCAGACATACTCAGCCTTGGAAGGATCGTACGTGATGCGAGTCCCTGTAAGGAACCGGGTTCAGAAAGGGTTCCTTGACTACAGTGTTTCATAGGTACTCATCAGCAAGTTCTCAGCGAACAACATCAAAACTATCGCAATCATACCGAATATCCAAGTACACTCTCAATGACTATCCCGAACCAGGATCAGACCGCAGTCTGAGTCAAAGGCGCAGTCTATTCTATCTCATCATTTAGGCGTTCCGTGGTGCCTGTTCACTGGATTCAGATTACTTAGCAGCCGTTTCCCGCACAGCTTGGAGCCGATAAGATTCCCGATCGCGATCCCGTGGGAGCCGGGATGTCGTCCCCCAAAGGACAGGTTACGCGGCCAACTTACTCAAGTAAGCCGTGTGTTGCGCATTGCTCTTGGCATGAGCTTACGGAGGATGCCGAATGCCCGTGACTAACTATGCCAGGAGAGGATCAGCGCCGAAAATTGAGCCGCATTCCATCTTCGAAGATCGCTATACTGAAGCATCATGCTACTGCAGAGGTATGCCAGCTTCCGTACAGGTTTTAAGCCGACTAGGCGCTCAAAATTCGTTGGATGGTTGTTAGCATAGTTGTTATCGTTCCTAGCACGATCCGTCCGATTATCACAATCACAAAAAACACGCCGTTTATCCTGAAACGACCACGATCTTCTCTTGGCCTGTTTCTCAGCCATGTTAGCGCGTATATTTAGAGATGCTATCGCGAATTCACGTGTTGAACAAGTCAGCCTGACTGGACATCTCAGCATCTTTTCTCTCCAGATAAATTAAGCTACGCTGACCCAAGCCGGCAAATCGTATTAAGTTCCACCGGTGACCTGGTCGCTGTCAACTTGATACAGAACGATGACGTAGTACCCGAGACTCTGTGCTATAATCGAGCAACCATTGGTCTGAGAGCTCACATCTGGATGCCTTTGACAGACCGACGGTACCCATCCACACGTTATCTCTCAGACCACCCTCTCAGCATCTTCTCGAACCCCTTTACAAGCCCCTGTCCCACTGTACCCACAGGAATCTCACCTACCTCAAGTCTCCTCGAGAATTCCATTCGCTGCGCAGCTTCAAGATTAGTATCAAGGATGTCTGTACCTTCTGCGGCATCTTGCCACTGTTTCACCGTAACACTACAAGGATCCTTCCGGTCCTGCTCAACAAGAACTTTGACTTGATCAAGCTGCGTAATGAACTGCTTCAGAATTTTGATGGCAACGTCGTTCATGGCGACTTCGGCTTGGTACTTTGCATCCTGCTGGCGCTTCTTGAAGAGTTCAACATGGAAGCGATCATCGAATTGGGGCCTAGGCAATGTATGCATTGGTTCTTTTCGAGACATTGCTGATTGTGAAGTGTGTCAGCTTGTTTCTCGCGATGGCGGTGCGCCAGAGCCTGATATTCGCCTAACTTTCTCGGCTTCTGCATTTGGTTTTCCGATGTGGGCAGCGAGCGCGACGTAGTTTACATGCGGCACACCATTTCGCGGGTGGAAGATCCTCCCCGTAGGGAAGGCGCTCTGGGAGGTCAAGACAATGCACGCTCCTGGGCAAGTTGACACGCGGCCAATGTTTCTCGCAGTACTCCACGCGTGCCTTGATGTTGGAATACGGGAGTTCTTTCGGCCACCCCACTCGTGGCCAAAGCTTCTCTTGCAGGTTCCTAACCGCCGTAAGGTTGAAGTTCGGAACAGGTTGTGGCCGGTGCGCTTGCCGGTACCGCTTCTCCTTGTAGTTTGCCAGCGCTATCATGTTCAAGTAGGAAACTTCTTTCGGCCACTTCTCTCTACTATTAGGCTTTTGATAAATGGCGTGTAACTTTCCAGTAGATTTCTCAAATAGCTGATTCCAATCTGCCGGTGTGACTGAGTCTCGGTCCGCAGTGTGTTGGCGTCTTAGAACGCGAGACTGCTTGCAGAGTGGACTGACAGCGACTTTCCACGCACGGACTCTGCGCCGCATTGTCTGTACCTTGAGATCATGTGCGCGTTGGGCCTTCCGCTTTGCGACCGAAACTTGAATGCGATGCAGGCGGTTCTTATGTTGCTGTAGCCGGGTGGGCCATCTTGAGACAATGCTATTGAGCCTGTGTTGTAGGAATAGATGCTTGGAGCTGATGCGGTTCCAGCGCGTGTAGTGTTCGGATCCACAGCCCATGCTTGAGTGCTCGGTTGTGTTGATGATAGCGGGACTTGGCTGACTATCTAGGTAGTGTTGCCGACAGTTGAAAGAAGCTTGGAAGAATGTGACGAGTAGGTGGTGTGGAGCGCGAGGGCGATAATGCGGTGGAAGGAAATCACAAATATACGCTAGAGGGATCTGGTTAGCCAGTTCACAAAAGATGCAAGTGAAAAACTTGCCATAGAAAAACGACCGTCGTTCTCTCCAACGCCAGAGTCCTTTGGATCTCCCATCACGAATTCAGTGAAGGTAGTATCAATACATGTGAGTGGCGTGCTTCTGACGGGGGAAAGGTAAAAGGATGCTTCCTAGGCATGTCCACTGAGCGCAAAAACCTTCCTACCATTACCAGAGCAGTTGTTGAACGACGTCATATACCGGGCAAATCAGTGATTCTGTAGAAAGTAGGAGATGAAACCATGCGTGTACTACTGCGGTTCTTATTTACTAGCCCTTTCCATTCTCCTGCGATGCAAAGAGGTAACCTATGTATACTCAACCTACTGCCATGAGCTGCTCAGACTAGCGCTCGCTTGGCATTTGGGTACGGTGTAGCTTCTGTTCGGATCACTCTCCCACGTGACTGTTCCGCCACTGCTGATCTTCACGAACTTGTACTGAATCGATGAACTGGCCGCCAATGGGATTGTAATGGTCCAGACGGGGTTGCTAGAGGTGTAACTGTTTGCCGAAAGCGTGAGACCGTTAGCTGGCGTCCAGTTGCCCAGCTGCGCGGTGTTACCGGTGATCTTGATTGTGTCACCCGGAACGGTGGTGATACGGTGTGTGAAAGACACCGAGACAGCTGTTGGGCATGCGGTCGATGTAGCAGTAGCAGTCTTTGTGGTAAGGGTGGTACCAGTGGTGGGCGTACCGGAGCCAGCAGCAAGAACGATGGGCTCACCGTTGCTGACGGTTACACAGACCTTACCGCTGCCGTCGGCGGTCACCGCGGCGCCGTTTCCGTAGACGTTTGTCCATTTGCCGTTGGCCTTCTGGGTGTTGAAGCAATGCTGCTGGTTGGAGGTGCTTCCGGCATTCGTGGTGAGAACGATCAGGTTTCCGCTTGCACGGCTCCAGGCGTAGGCGTTGTCCGCTACGTACAAGTGAACGTGGTCATCAGCGGCGAGACCTCCTGCAGACTTCCTCGCGGCGGTCAACTTCTTGATGGCCTGGTAGAGGTTCGCGTTGGTGTTGAAGCCGCTTCGCCATAGGTCCTCTCGGTTGGCTGGGTCGTCACCGCCGGCGTAACCTTGCTCGGTACCGTAGTAGAGGATGGGAATTCCTCGTGCAAGGATGACGTAAGCGAGGGCATTCTTAAGCAGTGTCTGGTCGTTCTTTACGTTCAGCCAGCGCTTGTTGTCGTGGTTGTCCAAGAAGGTACCAAGAGCGGATGGGTCGGGGAAGGTGTTGCTGACGGTGTTCATCATGTCAACAAGCGCCTGAGATGAGCCCTTCTGCTGGTAGAAGTTATTCATGGGGTAGTAGACCGCGTAGTTCAGAAGACCAGGCATGAGCTTAGCATACTCGGCAAGGTAAGTTGGGTTGCCATCAAACACTTCGCCGATGCTGTAAACTCCTGTCGCAGAAGAGAATCCAGGCCAGAAGTCTTTCTCGACGTGCTTGACGGTATCGATGCGAACGCCATCGAAGCTATACTCCTTGACAAGCCAAGAGACCCAAGTGTTCATGACGCTACGGATCTCGGACGATTGAGTGTTGAGGTCAGGAAGACCAGCAATCTGGCATTGCTCGACGCTACCTTGGTTGCTGTAGTTGATGTCACAGGCGGAGTGGTATGACGAAGCCTGGTTCAGTGGCGAAGGGCGGTTGTTCGTGATCGCACCTGGTCCCATATGGTTGGCAACGACATCGACCATGACATAGACGCCCTATACCGGATTAGTGAATGTATAAATTTGAGATCACCTGTCTTGGTCGTACCTTTGCATGAGCGGTGCTGACTAGGCTCTTCAGGTCGGCAGCAGTACCGTAGTTGGAGTTGATGGCATACAGATCCTCAGCCCAGTAGCCATGGTATCCAGCAGCCTTGTCTACGATTGCTGTTAGTACACATACGCTCCGATGGTGACGAGCAAATCGTACTTGAAACGACCGGAGTGATCCAGATGGCATCGAATCCTAGGCCCTTGATGTAGTCGATCTTGGACTCAAGTCCCTTGAAAGTTCCGCCACAGTAGTTGCCAAGGTTGCTGCATGATGCGCCTCCAGTGTCGCTGCTGCTGCGAGCAATGCGGTCGGTGAGAACGAAGTAGATGCTACGAGACTTCCACGCGCTCGTGTCGGCCGCTGATACGAGAGAAGTAAAGCCCAAGAGAGCAGTAGTAATGAGGTTGGAGAACAACATCTTGGCCAGCTCGATGCTTTTCTGAGCGGGTGCTTGAAGTTGCGATGCGGTGATGCTCTTGTTCTGGATGAGGTCGGCCGCTGGATTTATAGACGTGCCACGCGTGGGTATCACAAGGCCACCCAATGTCCCTCAGGCTACCCCACAAAGCTGCCTTAATCCCGAGTAAGGCTTACAGGACCTCGTGGAGAACTTCTGCGCCTCTCCGCGGTAGTCGAAGATACTAAGGAGCCAAAATATGGTTAGAAGCCGCACAGAGAACGATGGTGATGCTCCGGACCGTCATGAACCCACTGAAAGAAGTGTACCTGGGCGATCATCGTACTCTTGGCGATCTCTCGGACCGAGTTAGAGGCGTCCAGTGTGCCTCGTGGACGTTTGAAACATGTCGGTGGGGTACAGAAAACGGTCAAAGGCCCCGATCAGGAAGCTGCGGAATGCTAGGCCTCCGACTTTGCCATGGACGCAGTAATATTGGCCGCTGCACTTCTTTGGCGTATTGACCCTAGGGTAGACTAGAGGTTGTGAAGGCCCAGGGGAAATGAAGGAAGTCGCAGGGTTGAAATGAGAGTGGCGACGTAAGCGAGCTGATTTGCCTCGGGATTGCGGCTTAGCGTTTCCATCACGATCCGCCGTCCCCGCATTCCGGTACTTTAGCACCGCCCAAGTCAATTAAGGTGCGGGCCGGACAGCGTTCTGAGGTCTTCTGACCGTTCTGCATATGCATCAGCGCGACCTCTGCTTGCTGACGCGCATTGTTCCCGACAGCGACCCAATGAACGGGAGGCCGCTTTCACAACCACGACCAAGACGGCAAGCCTCCGAAGAGCGCTATATGCTTCCATTAGGGCATGTACAGTTGGCGGACAGTCTCCGACTTCTAGTCGACGAGCTAGAAGAGAATCCCCGGGTTTGGGGATTTCCACGAATCCACGTGTTGAAAGGAGGTTTTCGAGAGTCTGGAGCCGACCACAGCCGGCATGACGCGAAGTCGTTTCTGGGGTGCAGATTTTGGACGAAGGCGCAATAACCGAACTCGCATCATGAGCATTGTGAAATGCACACACCGAAGTTTTACATGCCGAGGCGCTGTTCGGAATAAGAGCCGACATCAATCCAATGAAAGCAAAGCATGGTTTCCATGCATGTGGAAGATCACGATAACCGCAGGTAGAAGAGAAGAATTCCTGTTTGTGAATGGGTCATCGGGTTCGCTGATGATGTGACAGTGTCATAAGCGCCGTTCTCTTGAACATGGCACTCTTCATAGTCGAGATGCATACCAAGCATGCCGTCTCATCTTATTTCTCTGTCTGCTCTCTACCTAGGTAGTTGGCCCTAGTACCTGTGGCACCAATATCGCAACGCTTCAGAAAAGCGACTTCGGCAGTAGTTACTGAGACAATACCATGTCGCTTCAACAGACCTGTAAAGTGGCTGCCGCGACCTGGCTGGGTTGCGAACAGCTCTCCGCTCTACTGGACAATGTCTTTGTTGTCGGAGGTACGAAGGGATTTTGACAAAGCCATTCATCTCGACGATTGTCCGCTTTGTGAACCAAGCTGTATAACATGGACGATCCTCATTCTGTCGCGTGTCTTGTTTTCTAAAGTCACATCATACGGCCTTTACTTCCGGGTACCAACGTTGACGGTACCGGGTTCAATAATGTCGGCATTCACCCACAAGGTACCAGAGACAAACTGCAGTCATGGCGACTACGTTCCACCTCTTCCCTCGCCTGCCCGCTGAACTGCGCGTGCGTATCTGGCATGTTGCCCTGGGGGACGACTACGAAGATCTCAATGGCCGTGTTCGCATCATCGAGTTACACAGCTACAAAGCAGATCCAAAAGAGCTTAGTGTCGCTGTATCCCGCCGTTACCCAACGCTTTTCGAGGTCAACCGCGAAGCACGATCTGAAGCTGCCAAGGCCGGTGGCGGAGAGTGGATCACGGTAAGGGTTTGCCCAGTATTAGCAGTTCACTGGGAGAACTAATATGCTAACATGGTTATCAACCTACAGATGCATGCACGCTTCAACGGCAGAAGTGAGCCAAGACACGCTGCCAGCTTCAAGATCTACATCGACTTCTCACACGACGTACTACTCCTCTCAGACCGTTTCATCGCCCAGCAAGGGCATGTGGATATGCCTAAAGACTACTTCAAGTATCCCGAAGAAACGAAGCTTCTGGTTTTGATGAACCTGTTACCCGATAACGTCATCAAGAAGATCGCGTACTTCATGCTCACAACGAGCTGGTCACGTTACAAGGGCGAGCATTTGGAGCATTTCCCTTCCCTTAAAGGTCTTCATCTTGATAGCCGCCATCACATAAGTGATCTCATTCGTACTAGGATCGTCGTTGAGCAGTATGAACTCAAAGCCTGGGAGTCCTTGGACTCAGAAGCACCACAATTATCCTGCCCCTTCACCTGGGGTACTGGCGAGGGTACCCTGACTTGGGTATCGGTGTCTGGCGTCCTAGAAGTGGCGAGTGACGGCATTCGCAAGGTTGAGTGGGGATTGAGGAAGGACTTGTGGGTTCCGAGGGCGAAGAAGGGATCATGTACTCTGCAGAAGATTGGATAAGGGGTGGAGAAGATGCGCATGTCTTGTATGCGAATCGAATCAGGCTGCGGGACTATATGGCGGAACTGGAATGGGATGAAGGCTTGACCTGACCTATTGGAGCAAGACAGTCTGATCAACGAAGCACATAACAGCACCATCGAGGATCCCAACGTGCATAACACATCAAAAAGCAGACAACGAAGGATAACAATAAATTATCGTTACCCCAACCCCAACTCCTGCTATGCGTACCCTACACACCCTGCACCTTCCGATAACTCGGCGGCTTAAGCGTCCTTCTCAACAACTTAACCGCATAAGGCGGCACGAGACTAATCGCGGCAATAACCGCAAACTTCCACCAAAACGCTACACTGCCCACGTACTCAAGATCAAAATATCCCGTCAAAAACGGCACAGAGCCAAAGTAAATCACCGCCGTACCCACGATGCTAGCAATCATAATCCAATGCCACGTCGTAACCTCCATAGCCACCATGACAAGTTCATTGACAATAAGCACGGAGAAACTGACGCTGACCATCTTGAGGAACGTGGGGTCAGGTGCCGCAGGCGGTGTCGTAGACGCGCCGACGCCGATGAGAAGTTGTGAGAGACCCTGTATGATGGAGCCCTGGTAGACGGACACCGCGACCCAGATGAAGAAGGACTTATAGCTCAGACTCCGTCCCGTTTTGAGTTCAGCGTAGAGTTCCGGGTAGAGGTTCGCCACGCTCTCATCGACATCGCGATCGAGCACGAGAGAGAAAACGGGCATCATGGTGTAAATCGTGCTGTAGCCGACGAGCAAAAAGTCTTTATATAAGGCGTTGGGTTCAAAGCTGCTGGCGATGGAGAAGACGGTTTGGCAGATACTAATGATGAGACCGCGGTGGATGACGAATTGGCTTAGTTTGGCGGAGCGCTTGTAGCTGTTGCGGCCGTGCCAGACGAGGAGCTTGACGAGGTAGCAGAATTGCTCGATGGAGAAGTCGGCTGCGAGAGAGGCTTGGCGGCCTTCTTTTCCGACGATGCCTACGCCCACGTCGGCGGCTTGGATCATGGAGACGTCATTGCCGCCGTCGCCGATGCAGCATACGCGTTTCTTTGTGAATTCGCGGATTAGACGTGCGACGTCGGCCTTTTGTGTGGGGGAACAACGGCAGGCTACTACCGTGGGGAGTTGCACGGCGACGGTGATGAATTCTTGGCGGAAGTGCTGGAGGAATAGCGCGAGCGATTCGCCGTCGATGAGGAGGCAGGCGTCGAGTTTTCCGCGGAGGAAGTCGAGGGAAGAGGAGGCGAGGTCTTTGCGCTTTAGCTTGGCGATTGTGTGGACGTATTGGCCGCGGGCTACGAGTTTGGAGGAGACAGCTACGCAGCGGGCTGTTTCTACTTTGTCGCCCGTCAACATCCAAATTTTGATACCGGCGTTGCGGAGGAGTTCGAGGGAGGGCTTGACGTCTTTTTGGAGCTTGTCTTCGACACCGGTGACACCGAGAAGTTCCAGGTCGTTTTCTAAATACTCCTTTACAACGTTCGCGACGGCGGCATCGCGGTTGTTGAGGGCAAGCGAGGCCTGAGCATGCTTGGTGGAGAAGTCTTGGTAGATCTGCTCGGAGAGCTTCTTGCGGCCAACGACCAGTGTTCGGAGACCTTCACGAGCCATATTGGCTGTCTCTTCGTCGAGCCAGTCGTTGGCGGCAACAATGGAGGTCATGACAGTATCGGCACCCTTCTGGTAGAACCATATCTCGCCACCATCATCAGTGGGTGATGACACTGGGCCCTGATAGAACTTCACGACGATACCCATGCGCTTGCCTTCTGATGTGAATGGAAAGACATTCAGAATGCGCACTTTGACGACAGTGTTCCCGCTGTCGCACGATAGGAGAGTCATAGATTCGCGGTCGCGAGACAGGAGCTTCAAACCAACAGCCTCGGTCCATCTGACGATGGCAATCTCATCGGGAGATGAGGCTTGGTATGTAGTCACTGTCTCCCCATTCTCTTCTTCCGTGGTCGGCGTTACGTTATGGCAGAGGGCAAGAGCTAGCACGACATCGCGGACCCGAGAGCCAATCTCTCGACGCGTACGAGTAGCCGAAGTGAGAGGCGCGGTGTATGCAGAAGAAGGCGTGGCAAGCGACGGGGTTTCTCCCGCGGGTGGTGTAAAGCACTGGTGGACATATGATGATACCTCGTCCATGGCTTCATTTGCATACGAGACAGTACCGACATGTATCTTTTTCATGACCATCTCTGCGTTCTGTTAGTTGTGTCGAAATTACTTTATGGTTGAACATACCATTCTGTGTCAGAGTACCCGTCTTGTCGCTCAACAGGTACTCAATGCGACCCAGGTCTTCTGGGATTGTGCTAGTCCGAACGATAGTGCCTTTGATGCTTTCATCATGCTGTATGAACCATGCATAGACTGACTTGCCCATATCGAGATTGACACGTAGACCTACTGGAACAATAGTGGAGAACAGGATGAGGAATCTCAGCATTGACGCCCACCATTGCCGGCCTTCGATGACCTGAAATCGCGCGAGTGCCACTAGAATGAAAGAGAGCGAGAGGGTAAAGATGCACAGCCATTTGGTCAAAGAGTTGATCTCTAGTTCAAGCAGACCAGTCTTGGATCTTGAGGGCGATGTAGAAAGTGCTTGACGAGTTTGTGGGCCGGTATATACGACCACAGCTAGTAGACTGCAGCTCGATGCAACAACAGTATTCGCCCAGATGGTGTTGTCGATGCTCAAGGGTGCCGACTGCACTTCTGCCGGGGATGACGTGTCTTCGTTATCATGAGGGTCATAATGTCGTTGTGTTTTGGGTGGCAGTTCAACGGTTCCATAGAATTCATTGACCTTCTTGTCCGGTTTGCCAGCGACGACGCGGAGCCGAGTGTACTCGCCAACATCCAAGTTCTGTGTAAGTGGCGAGGTCAGGCGCAGCTTCCAGTCGGTTTCTCCATCCAATTGATCTGTTCGGATGAAGGCTTCTCCCGAGGTTCCAGAAGCTGTGGCACTGTCAAATTTGGCCGTTTCGCCGGAGTCCATGCCATCAATAAGCGCAGTCGATGAACTTTGCGCCTTGGAGTCATCTTCGATAGGTGCCGCGTTTTCGCTGGAGTAGCTCTTGAGGAGCACCATGTCGGCAGGCACTCGCTGGTCCTTGCCGAGTTTGACAACGTCTCCAACCCTGAGGCTCCGGGAGGGTTTCACGACTTCCCAGTAGGTGCATGTCGCCAAGCCCTTGCCTGAAAGTCGCTGCTCCTCGTCATCAATGTCTGCCAACCGGCCCTCGTCCTTGGGCTGCTTCCTCAGGCGCTTCTTTCTCTGCGAGTTCTTTCCGGGCGCGACGCCGTTCCCAAGGCTGTTCTCCTCAAACTTCAGGACGGTGTAACCTTCCGAGTTTGCTTCTGCGTCTCTCCGCCGCCGAGCAATGTCGTCCATTGCCTCTTTACTCAGTGTTATCGTTAGGACAAAAGCCAGCGGCGCGATGTATGTCGACAGGTAGCCGATCCGGAGGACGGGTATGACCTGCGATAGGGCGACGAGCAGAAAGTACATGTTGATGAAGAAAGAGAATTCATTGTAGAGGGTGCGTGGTAGGAAACTCCACGGGGTGTATTTGGCATTCGAAACGGCGTTTGCGGGGAATCTCGACGTCTGAAGCTGGCCGACGGAGATGGTGCGTTGGGTGGTCGGATCATGCTCCTCGTCAGCATCCGACTCTCCAGCGTCGTCGCCTAACTGTATGGGTGCGTTGTTCTGGCGTGAGAGGAAGCTGGGCAGGCGCATGTTGGAGCCCAGGCGGGAAAGTGCGCTCGGTGGTGGTTGCCGTCTTTTCCGTGCTGTGTGCTGTGCAGGCAGCAAGGGCGAGTCGTCATCTCCGGACTGGCCGTAACTGCCAGCAGAGTCTCTCTTGGACCCTTCATCGTCGTCCAATAGCCCTCTAAGGTCATCCTCTTCCGGCTCTTCCTTCTTCTTGTTTGCGCGCAACCTGCCGACTCTGAGGTTCCTCAGCGGTATCCTTGCGCCCAGCTCATGGTACGGCCGTCGCTGTTCCTTGGACTGGCGACGTGGTGGTGTAGCGGCGGACTGGGAGCGAGAGGCCAGAGGGTCCAGCTCCTCTAGGTCGAGTTCTAGGTCCGAGTCCTCGTCTGGCGCATTCGGCTGGTGGTACTGATGGGGAGCGGCCATGGCTCATGGGCGGGCGAAGAGGGTGCTGGCTAGTTCCGCTTCATGTGCGACGGGCTGGGTGTGGTTATGGCTACGAGGGTTGCCTTCGGGGGTCCGCGGCGTTTCGGGGGTGTCTGGATGGGCTGTCTGGGCGACTGGACGTTTTGTTTCGGCGGCCGAGCGCTGTTTGGGCCTTCTCGATGGTATGTGACGTATGCCCCAAGGTCTCAGGCGTCGCGGAGGGGAGGGCGGTATGTGAATAGTAGAGTCCATCAATATGTGTCTCGACGTCGCGTCACTCTGGGCTCTGTGGCGCAGGCGCAGGGCTGTGGCTTGGGGACCAGGGTTGCCGCGGCGGGCCGTTTCAATGTCCAACCTTGGGCGCAGGAACAGCTGGCCAGATCGCTTTCTCTCCCATCCAGCCAGATTACCTACGATGCGCCCGGGGATCGCCTCCGACATTTGATTCTTGCTGCCTTCCTGGACGAAGATCGCGTCTTTCGCAGTTGTGCGACACGCAGAGCCCATGCTCTTCTGCTTCTATAGAGGTACGTAGCCATGTTCGCGATCCCTGACGTAGAAAGGGATGGCGATTGCGCCTCTTTACAGTTCGCGTCCAAGTCACCGTTGCGACTTCCTTTCACGCCCAGTCATTTGCATGTGTGTTTACGCAAACTCCTCTCTCCTGCATAATTCTCCTCGGTCCGCATATTTCGTTCCACGAGGCGCCTACCGTGGCATGTCAGAACTCGCTTCATCACCCCGATCGAGGCCCAACGTTTCGCCCACCAGCCCCCAACTTCAGCGCTGACTGCCTGTGCAGTACTTGTAGATACCCTTTGAATTACCTAATTATTCCATAATGGACGAAGACGGCCCCAACTTTTCTTACGCCTACGGTGGCGCTCCTCCCACCCCCTCCACAGCCTCGAATGCATCG